CCCTTGGGCACTGGGGTCACGCTCCCAGGTCGTTAAGACCAACACTAATCCAACTTCTTTTTCAGATCCCTCAAGAAATACCCTTCCACAGTGTGGGCAGCTGGGAAGTGATATTAGCTCTCATACCCGTAAATGCACACGAGACCAAGTTGGTCACTTTCAAATCCTTCCTACTCCTAATAACTCTGTTATCTCCACGACTAACCCTTCCCACGTCCTTTTATCACCTCGCACCGCTAGGGCAAACGATTCGAGTACACGGAACGTTATTCCTGGTCTCCTAAAACCACGCTCTAAACTACACGTAGGAACTTTTGATGTCCGAACATTGTGCCAAATAGGACAACAGGCTTCCTTAGATAGGACTCTAGAATCTTACACCATCGATGTGTGCTGCGTCTCCGAAACGCGCATACAAGATCCGAGTAGCGTCATTCATTTGACCTCACCCAATCAAAATAAAGAACCATCTCGATACACACTTCCTGTATCTGAAAGCACTGACGCTGCTTCCCGTGGCCTCGCTAGAGTAGGCATAGCATTAATTCCTAGGGCAGAACTAGCTCTTTTAGACTGGATCCTAGTAGACATTCATCTATGCGCTGTCCGACTAAACGGATCAGTAAGGACTTGGAAAGATAGGGAAACTCGTCGTTGTCTCTTCGTCGTCTCTGCCTACTCTCCCACTGACAGCAGCTCAGACGATATAAAAGATGAGTTTTACAGGAAACTTTCTGACCCTCTCCGTAAAGCTAGGCGTTCTGATGTAGTAATAGTGGCTGGTGACTTTAATGCTCAAGTATGTAAACTAAGTGAAAGGGAAAGACACCTGGGAGGATCTTATGGTGTCGTGGCTAAAAGAACAGATAATGGCAATCGTCTGTTGCAGCTATGCTCAGATAACCGCCTATTTCTTGCGAATACTAATTTTAAGCATAAGGAAAAACATCTTTTGACATGGCGACCCCCGAATTCGTCCCAACGTTGGACCCAATTAGATCACATCGCTATCAGCCACCGATGGAGGGGCTCGATAGAAGACTGTCGTTCATTCTGGGGCACATGTTTAGATTCAGATCATGCTCTAGTGCGAGCACGTATCTGTCTGTGTCTTACTGGACGTAGGAAAGACACTGCAGGGAAGCCTCTAAGGGTTCTACTTAATGATAAGCAAGCTAAGAATATATTACAGGAAAAACTAGAAAAACAGTTAGGCAGCCATGTAAGTGATGCCCATCCCGAGGCAGCGTGGAATGACATCCGTAAAGCTGTGGAAACAGCAGTGATATCCGCTAGTAAGGTAAGCCATAAGGTCAGGGAGAAACAATGGATCTCGGTAGCGTCTACCACACTGATAGATGCTCGAAAACTCATCCCACTTGGCTCTGAAAATAACGAAGAGCGGAGTCAGCTTGAGCGAAGGCTAATAAGAAGCCTACGCAATGATCGTGAACGGTGGTGGGTAGCGAAAGCAAGAGAGATGGAAAAGGCAGCGGCAATAGGTAACAGCAGACAGCTATTCAAACTTATCAAAGAAACCAGCATTAGAAACCCAACTATTAGCGAAACTATCTCAGACAAATATGGGCATATCATTCATTCTCAATCCAGGAGATTGGATCAATGGGCAGAACACTTTGGGGATCAGTTCAACTGGCCATCAGCCACACTTCAGTTACCCACGATCCCCAGTCATCCTGAATGGCAAATTGAGGTAAGTCCTCCAACTCTCTACGAGGTTGAAAAAGCTATAGGAAATCTAAAGCGAGGGAGAGCCACAGGTCCTGACAGGTTGACCCCTGAAATTTTTAAGGATGGTGATCCAGTACTAGCAGTGAGATTAACTGAGGTCTTAGGTAGAATCTGGAAACTGGACGTAATTTCATCTGACTGGTCCCAATCACTGATTGTGCCAGTCTATAAGAAAGAACAAAAGTCCTCCTGTGACAATCACAGAGGAATCAGTTTGACTAATATAGTGTCTAAAATATCAGCCTCAATAATACTTGGACGCCTAACCAAAGCTCGTGAAGAGCAGACTAGAGAAAACCGGTCTGGTTTTCGACCTGGACGTGGTTGCATAGACCAGATATTCACCCCACGTCACGTCCTAGAACATAGACACACATTCAGACGTCCCACAATAGTAGTATTTCTTGACCTTAAGGCGGCATTTGACTCCGTTGATCATGAGGTTCTATGACAGTGTTTGTCAGTGAAAGGAGTCCCAAAGAATTACATTAACCTCATAAAGGCTCTCTACTCGAACACAACTGGTCGACTTAGATCCTATGGCGAACTGTCATCAGAATTGGTTACCTCAAGTGGTGTTCGTCAGGGCTGTCCACACTCCCCATTCTTATTTGACTTTGACGTTGACATGCTTTTAGAGATGTCACTTTCATCATCTCAATCTCTTGGAGTTGAACTTTTACCGGGAGATTCACTTGTTGACTTAGAATACTAGTTGAGAATAGTAGTTGAGCGTGTAGACCACTTCACTTATCTTGGGAGTCTCATCAGCCCTTGTGGTCTGGTATGTGACGAAATCTCAGCACGGATACAGAAGGCTCGTCTAGCTTTCGCCAACTTGCGTCATTTATGGCGTAGGCGAGATATCCGTCTAGCAACCAAAGGACGGGTTTGCTGTGCAGCAGTTCGCTCCGTCCTACTTTATGGCAGTGAAACATGGCCAGTAAGAGTAGAGGATATTCGTAGGCTTCTAGTGTTCGATCATAGGTGTCTTCGAAGCATTGCTCGTATATCCTGGGACCACCGGGTAAGTAATGCAGTTGTTAGGAAACGAGTACTAGGTAGGGATGGCAAATCGATTGATGAAGTAGTGAAACTTCATCAGTTGAGATGGCTGGGACATGTGTTACGTATGCCCGACCACCGACTGCCCCGACGTGCAATGTTTCATGGTGTAGGAGTAGGTTGGAAGAAAGCTAGGGGTGGCCAGACCAAAACGTGGCACAAATCAATGAAGTCACTGACAATTGGACTGGGCCATGTTGGTAGGTGTAGACTACCTGGTTGGGATTCGCGAGATGACAGCAACCGATGGTTAGAGACCTTGAATGACATGGCTCAAAATCGTTTGCAATGGCGAAGGTGCATCCACTCTTTGTGTTCTACCAAATTCTAATCTTCTGAATTCCTCATGTCTTTATCTTTTTCTCTTTCCAAATTTATTTCACTGTACTATACTCCTTCGATAATTTCTTCAAACCCTAATCTTTTGGATTTCTGATTATACTCCTACTACTTCTACCACTATGGGATTTGAATCGACAACTGCATGTCTGTGCTAATGTGGTATGGCAACTCGAACTGATGTACGTGCGTACGAAGTTCTACGTTGTAACTGACTGACTGACTGACCTAAATAATAAGTACTCTTTATACTTCTCCCAGTAGTACATTTCTGATAACATATTACACAAAGTGCAGATTATGTGCATGCCGTTTAGCATGCTCATTTTCTCCGTCTCCAGATTCAAAATAATTTAACTAAGGACGGGTTTGAATTCTTTAAGGTCGTGTTCATGAATTTCTACTGTGCCGTTATCTTTAATTACCCGTTTCGTTTTTACTCTCGACCCAACCCACTATTTGTACTATATAATTTGTCGTGTGAGAGGATTTAGCTCTATGTACATCGTGTATTTGAATCCACATTATCAGTGTTTAAAGTAACTCCACTTTCGATAGATATTAATTCCTTTGTCCTTATAGTGCGTGATATTATGATTGCGCTTGACAATAGCCTGGATAGGGATTCTCCTTTCTGAGAGTGTTAACAGTCGGAGTCAGCCTTTTGATCACGGTAAGGATACGACGGATATTCTAGTTTCACAACTAACAACCAGTAGTATCTTCTACAATCGATCGTTACCGGCCAAAGGAAATCAGAAGTCAGACGAGAAGAGGTAGGAAAGATATATTTGATACGCTACCAATATATCGAGAGGCGTTCGTTCTTAACTGGCTATGGAAACGTAGGAGCTGTGTCCCACGCCGAGTTGCAACGTGGTCTGGTACGGATGCATGAGCGAAAGCATTCAGTTAAACAAGTCCACATAAACAACGTGGTCAGCATCCAATGTCGAACACTTAATGAGCTATTGATTTTGGGGAATTATTTACAGCTACAACGGGTAAGAGCTCATTTAGCGGTTACACCTGTAGTTTTCTTCTTGTCTGATGTCAGGCTCGCCGAGCAGGGACTATTACTTGGAAAACTTTTCATCCGAGTGAGAAACACTAAAACTTCATCTAAGAGAATCGCTTTAATTAGACAGCATGTCCTACTTAGCCAGAGTAAAGCTAGCAGACAACAGCATTTATACACAGCCAGTGATAGATCGGTACACATTTTATGAAAGTACCTCTTACATCTGTAACACTGCTTTCCATCTTCAACAGACAAGAGACACAGTGGTCGACCACATCGATGACTTTAAATTGCCATTCCAACCAGTATGACTCGTACAAAACAAGAAGTTCAAGAAAAGCTGGCCACAAAACATGAAAGAACAATTACGTTGCCATTGTAACTGTAGAAATGTACAAAAACAGCAACACTAACTAGCGGCAGTTAAGGCAACAAAACATCAAAGAAATTCACAGGCCCAAAATACGAGTAAACAGTAAATACGAACACAGATACTCACTAACAGAAAGCTACAACTAGTGGAAGCTGTCGTAAAATGTATGAAAATTTATTTCACAAACTCAACTATCGCTAAAAAAAGTTAAGTGAGTTTAAATCTAGCTTCTGGCACAATAAACGCAATAAAAATCTGGTGTCTCAAAAGGTGGAAAAATTCACTTCCTTTTTTTCCAAATAGCACTGATATATGAATGAAAGTTCAGGGATCTTTAGTTGTCACTGTCTTTAGAAAGTCAACTTAAAAACCGAGGAACCTGACTGTATACTTTAGATTTACTGTGGAATTAGGTGATTCACCTCATATCGTGAAGGTTTCTAACGTCTCACTATCCTACTCGGCGGAATGTTTGGTTTTAACTATCAGTGACACATTAAGTTCTCGGTTTTGGTGTTGCTGGATTCTCTACAGTTATACGCTTTCTGAAACTCTTGGTTTTGATCCAAAAAGTAAGTAAGGTTTCCTATTCAGCCACTTCATGACGGTGGCTATCAGTGATTGAGAGTTACACTCCTTTTTATTTATTTTATTTCAACACATAAATATTGGTATAGGGAAGCACCAGATATATATGCCTGCCACTCCTTTTTATCCTTTGATCTGATCAAGAAAAGAATTCTGCAAGGCTTGGAACGTATTATGTATATACATAATACGTTCCAAGCCTTTCAGAGCCTCACTGAGCCATATGGCTCAGTATAAAAACCTTCGTTTAACTAATTAACGGTATTTTATTTACTCAAACATGCACATGGTTACTGTGCGGTACATCCCCAAAAGTCAATTGAATTCTACCTGGAATTATCGGTAGATACTTTATTTATTAAGAAATTGGAGACCTCTTAGGTTACAGAAAATTTAGTCTTTAAGGGCTTTCAGACAGTTTCTGAAATCGTTACCGTGACGACTATGAGAAAAAAACCCCAAAGGAATCCAAAAACTTTATTCAATTAAAGTCAGATGTCACAACCTACAATTAGTGAGCAGTCTAAAGGTATTTCATTGTTATGTTCTTTAAAGTTTCTGGTTGGTTAACGTAGATGTTACTAAAAAATGGAACTGAAATGATGGTGGGTTTTTTATTCGGCATCGTGGGGATTTTTTTTTGTGAAAGTGACGTTTTGTATGGTTTTGTTTATTTCATTAAAATAATCCATTTTTGTGCAAGACCCTGTAATAGTATTTGCTAGTAAATACTACTGGTACATCTTCAAATGTGTTTACAGGGCTTTATCAACAGTCTCACTACTGAACGTTTAATGTATATCATAGCGATACCGGATGGCACCGGTTAAGAGCCTATTCAAGATTTAATATTACTTATATGCTCTCCTTAGTATATGCTCAGTCAGTCACAACGTAGAACTTCGTACGCACGTACATCAGTTCGAGTTGCCATACCACATTAGCACAGACATGCAGTTGTCGATTCAAATCCCATAGTGGTAGAAGTAGTAGGAGTATAATCAGAAATCCAAAAGATTAGGGTTTGAAGAAATTATCGAAGGAGTATAGTACAGTGAAATAAATTTGGAAAGAGAAAAAGATAAAGACATGAGGAATTCAGAAGATTAGAATTTGGTAGAACACAAAGAGTGGATGCACCTTCGCCATTGCAAACGATTTTGAGCCATGTCATTCAAGGTCTCTAACCATCGGTTGCTGTCATCTCGCGAATCCCAACCAGGTAGTCTACACCTACCAACATGGCCCAGTCCAATTGTCAGTGACTTCATTGATTTGTGCCACGTTTTGGTCTGGCCACCCCTAGCTTTCTTCCAACCTACTCCTACACCATGAAACATTGCACGTCGGGGCAGTCGGTGGTCGGGCATACGTAACACATGTCCCAGCCATCTCAACTGATGAAGTTTCACTACTTCATCAATCGATTTGCCATCCCTACCTAGTACTCGTTTCCTAGCAACTGCATTACTTACCCGGTGGTCCCAGGATATACGAGCAATGCTTCGAAGACACCTATGATCGAACACTAGAAGCCTACGAATATCCTCTACTCTTACTGGCCATGTTTCACTGCCATAAAGTAGGACGGAGCGAACTGCTGCACAGCAAACCCGTCCTTTGGTTGCTAGACGGATATCTCGCCTACGCCATAAATGACGCAAGTTGGCGAAAGCTAGACGAGCCTTCTGTATCCGTGCTGAGATTTCGTCACATACCAGACCACAAGGGCTGATGAGACTCCCAAGATAAGTGAAGTGGTCTACACGCTCAACTACTTCACTCCCTATCATTAGTTCAGGTGTCGCTGCAACCCAATCCTGAAGTAACATTTTGCACTTCGATGGAGAGAATCGCATCCCGAACATGCCTGCATAGTTGCTTATAGTGGTCAGAAGACTCTGCATGTGCTTTTAGTCTCACCGCTCTTCAACCGACCTGTCTGGCATGGTAGGACCTTGAGGAACGATTGTTCCGGCCAGCATAGCTCGATTGGATCATCACGATAGGCAAGCCCGACCACCACGTCAAGGTAGCAGCAACGGTCGGGAAAAACTATAGGCGCTTTTTGGAAACACTTCCATGCATGGTATGAAAGCGACTGAAACAGTACATTTTATTTGCATATTTTTTCGTTATTTCAATCAGGCTCCTGATTTTTATGGTGATTAGTTTATTACTGTTCATTTGAATGACTCAAATTAGTTAAATACATACTTTAATATTATGTTGCAAATCTAGTTTTGTGCTTACCGGATAGGTTTATTGGAAAGAATACTTGACTACTAGGAGCACTGTATTTCTGTACTGGTCAGTAGCAATATTAAAATCATTTTGCTAGATTTCCTGCCTTCTACAAGCCTCCATTTTCCATCTTGTTTGAATAACATACATATTTTAAAGAATTTATAAAACATTAAACGAATTTAACTGGATTGGTTCTGATTCTGAAGATACTTTTTTCTTTAGGGACTTTTTTGTGTAGGAATATAGCTATGTCGTTATTCTAGTTAGTGAGCAATGGTGCCATTTGTGGTCAAATACTTAGTAATTTTAAGATTTACAAAATGAGTTTATGATGTTGTTTTACTAACTAAACCAACCCAATCTGCTTTTTCATTATCAGTCGAAGCATTTTTCTACACGCTAACATTTTATTTGTTTTATTGTTTTATATCAGTCAATCATGATTAACATAAGACCTAGTACAAATATACATTATCTTAAAATGACACCGTATCGGTGTAATGCGATAAGATTACCAAAATGTGTAACAAGGTATTTGGGGTAATAGCACCGATATAGTAAAGCTAAATGAAGAATATGGGTAAAGAGCAAAAGACAAAATACAGGAATCGAAGCGTAGGATAATGAACTTTTCTTTATCTAACTCATCAGAAACCCCCCATTGAAAGGCCGTAAACGACCGGCCTCAAGGAGTTGTCACTTGGGCTCTGAAGTCACGCTCTTAGATCAATAAGACCATCACCAATTCAGTTTCCTTTTCAGGTCCCTCAAGGTGTGGCCAGCCGGGAAGTGACAACCTTCCTCATACCTCTATCAGCACCCGAGATCATCTTGTTGACAATCTAGTTCCTCCCTCACATCTTAATAATTTTTCAATTCCCACGACTATTCTCAAATATCTTTATCACCACGCACTACCAATCCTAGTGATTTGAGTTCAAGAGATGTTATTCCTGATCCCTTGAAACTATGCCCTAAATTACATGTTGGAGCTTTTAATGTTCAAGCCTTGTGTCAGGTAGGACAACAGGTTTTAGCTAGGACTCTAGAATCTCGTGCCATCGATTTATGATGCGTCTCTGAAACACAGGATCCAAGTACGACCATTCATCTGACCTAATCTTTTTAATGCAAAGAACAGGGAGGATTTACTCTTTGAGTATCTAGATTCCCCACTGCTACTCCCCGTGGCCTCGTTGGTATAAGTAAAACATTAAATTAGAAAGCAGAACAAGCTCTATTAGTCTGGAATCCAATAGACAGTCGCTTGTGCTCTGTCTGACTAAACGGGACAGTAAGGACTGGAAAAGATAAGAAAACACGCTGTTGCCTTTTCATTGTCTCTGCCTACGCTCCCACTGATTCCATCTCGGATGAAGTTAAAGATGAATTTTATAGAAATCTATCGAACCTTCAAAAAGATAAACTCTCTGATGTAGTAATGGTGGCAGGTGATTTTAATGCTCAATTAGGTGAGCTAAACCGAACCTAAAATTATTTTATTTATTTATTTAAACACATACATATTGGTACAAAAGGGAACCAGATACATATGCGCCACACTTTTTGTGTGAGGGCTGTGATACTGCCCGGGTGCCCAGACCGAAGCAGGTGGTTTTCTTAAGGGGCCACACCCCGAGCCTTTGACCTAAAGGTCTAACCCACAAGGCAGTGGAGCATCGTGAGGAGATGCAGTCCCATGGTGTCCAGTGATCAACGATTGATTCATACGCCATTTGTTCCCTCAGGATCCTGGAACCCATGTACACCATTGGTTCTGGATCAGGGTTTTCCAACTGCCCTAGGTGGACTCTCCGTGTCCACCAACCCGGTTAGAGCGCCGTACATTCGCTTTTCGTCCTCTCAATTTTGTCAACAACACCCGTGGTGTGAGAAGGCAGTGAGTAGGACTTTTCTGGCAATGGTTATTTGCACGTTGCCATGTGAGAGCAGTTCGCGAGGGAGGGCGGACTCTCCCCACTCTCGGCCGTACTAGGGCACTTGGGGGTATTTCTAGCAAACACCAATTTTGAACATGCGGAAAATCATCGTCTGACGTGACCTCCACAATTGAATCATCGATCGATTCAAGTCGACCACATTCTGGAGCACATATTTAGACTCGGATCATGCCCTAGTTCAGGCGCTTATTTGTCTGCGTCTTACTAGACATAAAAAATCCACAGCAAGAAAACCCTTTAGAGTTTAACCTATTGATGACAAAGTTAAGAATATATCCCAGAAACAGCTAGAGAGGGAGCTAGTAAATCGTGAAATTGATATCCATTCCGAAGCAGCGTGGTATGATAAACGAAAAGCTATGGGAACAGAAGTGCTATCTACCAGTAACTTAAACCAAACAGTTAGGAAAAATCAATGGACAACTGTTTAGACTCATCAAGGGAATGGATATTAAAGTACAGGTTGCTAGTGAAACTATCTCAAGGAAACGGGACTATTATTCACTCTCAGTCCAGGAGATCGAACCGATGGACAGAATACTTTTGGGAACAGTTCAACCTGCCTTCAGCCACATATCAGTTATCTGATATCTCAAAGCAACCTGAATGGCAAACGCAGTAAAGTAGTTGATTATCATCAGTACTGATGTCTGACGAAATCTCGGGACGGATCCAGAAGGCTTGAGTGGCTTTTGTCAACTCGCGTTACCTATGGCGTAAGCGAGATACCCGTCTTCTAACCCAAGGGCGAATTTACTCCGCTCTACTTTATGGATGTGGATGAGGATATTCGTTGGTAACTGGTATTCTGTCATAGGTGTCTACGAAGCATTGCTCGTGTATTTTGGGACCACGGAGTAAGCAATACATGGGTTAAGAATAGAGTGCTAGGTAAAGATAGAAAATCGATTGATGAGGTCCCAAATGAGGTAGTTGGGACGTGTTACGTATTTCCAACTATTGTCTACCTCTACGATCGACGCTTTCGGGTGTAGGAGCAAGCTGGAAAAAAGCTAGGGGTGTCCAAATCAGAACATGGCACCAATCCATGAAGTCACTTACATTTGGACTTAACTTTGTTAATCGGTACAAACTACCTGGTTGGGGTCCGCGTGATTATCGTAACCAGTGGTTAGAGACTTTGTAAGATATAGCTCAAAATCGTTTGGAATGGAGCAGGTGCGTCCATTCTTTGTCTTTCCTTAAATCCTGAGATTCTAAGTTCCTCATAACATTTTTTGTTTCTGCTAATTTATATTTTCTTTTTGAGTTGTATCTTCGATGCCTAATCTTTCCTATTACCTCTGATACTGTTACTTTCCCTACTATTCTGGAATTTGGCCTGACATCTCTCTGTAATAATGAAGTATGGCAACTCGAACCGATGTACATGAGTACACGTCCTACGTTGTTACTCACTGCCCTTAAGTTTTCCGAGTTGCGAAACTTCATTTAGGATTGCACTTTGTCGTAAATAATTCATTTTTATAATCTTTACGACTAAAATATGTTTACATTTGTTCTTCAGATAATTAATCGTCTCAGAATTAAATGTAGGTTGAGCTAATATTCCATGCAATAATTTTATTAAATGTTAGGTGATATAACAATAAATTGATTAGAATGATGTCATTTCATTCACTATAATGCATCGATCATATCGTGGCTGGGAAGATCATTTTATTAATGAGTAGCATTATCTTTGTTTTTATGGGGCTTCATATTCAATTTCATTTATCCTTATTTCAAACAAATTCTTATTTTAGGAAGTTCAAAATTAGTATGCCAGTTTTGTGTTGCAGATGTCAGTCAAAGGGATATATCAAACGCCCAAAAACTGTATGTCTTTTGAATTATTTTTCAATTGCTAATTGATATAGAGTGATATTATGTGCAAAGAATGTTTTTCTTGGTGTTTTGAAGAAGAAATACATTGGACAATTTCGCATGCAAAGCTTATTAGTCGTGGTGATAAAATTGCTATTGGTGCCTCCGGTGGTAAAGGTAAACATCATAATCGTAGATTTCCTTTTATTAATCGATGAAGAAATACAGATAATTACTCGATCTAAGCTAGGTCAGCATTAGAAACTTGAAAGCACTAGGCGACCGTTCCGTCCTATCATGGGGCTCCTCAGTGGTGCGCGTCCGCGACTCCACATGCGGGATTCGAACCCAGAACCTTTAATCTTGCGCGTGGAAGCTTAACTTATATATAGTTTCGTTGACCTAAGCTATACAGTCGTATTTATTTACTAGAAAATATTAATCTGTAGTAATTATTTATTTATTTGAATATATAAATATTGGTACAAGGGGACACCAGATGTATATGCGTCACACAAAAAATGAGAATGGGAAGAGAAAAGGAAGGTAAGGTGCGTAGAAGAAAAAAAAGAACAAACACAGATTAGTGTATGTTAGTGTAATAATAAGAATAATAATGGGTAAACGGAAAGATACAACCCGAAGAATTCTTTCAGTTAAGGAAGTTACAACCACTTTTTATGAAAAAAAGTAAAAGAACGTTACATCAGGATCGCCACTGGCTTCTATTTTGAGCCATATCTGACAACGTCTCTAGCCACTGTGTTGCACCATCTCTGGGACCCCAGCCAGGGAGTCGTGAAGGTCCAACATAAGCCAGTCCTGTACAGCTTTCCTTCATACCACGACAGCATGTCATACACTGACCACCTCTCCGCTATTTCCAACCAGTCCCAGAGTCGGAAAATAATGCATGACGAGGAATTCTGTGGGACGGCGTTCGTGGGACATGACCAAGCTACCGAAGTCGGTGTTTCAAGATGGTAACACCAGTTGGATAATCGCCTCTGCTCCCGAACACACGATGCCGAACCTCTGTATAGCTAACATGGTGTTGCCACTGGATGTCAGCAATCCTTTGGAGACAACGACGATCAAGCACAGAGAGTCGTCTAATATCCTCAACTCGGAGAAGCCAAGTTTCACAAGCATAGAGCAAAACTGCTCTCACAGAGAGCTAACTCACCGCTCTCAACCGTACCAGGGCATTTGGGGGCAATCTGGTAAAATAGAATAGTGCTGAATAACTTTAAAAAAATGATTTCGTATCGTGTTATAAGTTGTTCATGAAAATCATATAGTGAAAGGAAGTTGTTCAATATTTCAACTGTTAATGAAAAATGTCAAAATGAAGATAATTGTCTACTTGATAAATATAAAGAACAGAATAATTAACTGTTGTATTGATGGTTGATTATTAGTTTTCAAAAATTAACTAAATGTGAATAAAAATTGAAGAAAAGGAAGTTTATATATATGTATACATTTTTATACTTTTAGATTCTACCGTATTAGCTTATATACTAAACTTGTTAAATAAAAGATATGATTATGGAGCGGAATTGCTTCTTTTATCTATTGACGAAGGTATAAGTGGATATAGAGATGATTCATTAATGGTAAGGTTCGTTTATTCTCAGTTTGAATATTTACAAAATAATGATCTTTTAGACTGTTCAGCGAAATCAGATTCAATATTCGCTTCCGTTAAAAATTCTTTCTTACCAGGTAGATTTTCTCTTTCACAGTCTAAACCATTTTTTAGGATTTGTACGGATGGTCAATGGATGATATTGTGAAGCATATTGGAAATAAACGAAATTGTAATTAATGCACTAATGTTTTTGTTTATTGAAAAAAATTCGGTAGGTACTTACTGTGGGATATTTCGCCGTCAGGCTTTGGACAAAGGTGCACTACTTCTTGGAGCTAACAAAATATGTACTGGTCATAACGCTGATGATATTGCAGAGACAGTGTTAATGAACAGTAAATAACAACTGCTCGTTTTAAATATGTGTTTTGGTTTACTTAGAGTTTTAAAGCTTTTTATGGGATTTTATGTGCTAAATTGAAACAGAAACAGTTTTCTCATTTCCCTTTTTATGCTTGCAGTTCTACGAGGTGATATTGGTCGATTAAAACGATGTACAGCTATAATGACAGTAAGTAATGGAAACACTATAAGTTTTCAAGTTGGTTTTACTCATACAAATATATTTAGGGTACAGATGATATACTTCCTCGTTTCAAACCTTTTAAATATGCTTACGAAAAGGAGATTGTCATGTATGCACATATGCATAAATTGGATTATTTTTCAACTGAATGTAAATATGCGCCACAAGCTTATCGGTAAGTAGTGGTATTTTATCGTGATTTATATTATTTAGAGGGCATGTAAGAGCGTTTATCAAGGACTTGGAGAGAATACGACCTAGGACTATCATAGGTGGGTTGCTTTCTGTTCGAGTCGAATTCACCCTATTTAATTTAGATATTATAGCATCCGGTGAACGTATGGCTATTCGAAGTGATGTAAAGATGCCTCAGAAAAGTATGTCTTTACTTTTCAATAAGAACATTGTACTTATTCTGTTATTGTATGCAAATCAAATGCGTATCAGCTTTTTAACATCAGTTCATCACTAATATAACCTATGCTACTCTTATTTCAATTGTCACAACCTTGTGGTATCTGTAGCCCGTCCATAATAAGTATCACTCGTGGTTTACTAAACAAAGCCATACGTGGTTTATTTATTTATTTTAGTTAAGCACATAAATATTGGTACAAGGAGGCACCAGATACATATGCGCCGCACAAATCTCATTTGATTTGTGTGAGGGCTGTGATACTGCCCGGGTGCAGAACCGAAGCAGGTGGTTTTCTTAAGGGGTCACATCCGGAGCCTTTGACCTAAAGGTCTGATCCACTGACTGAATCCACAAGACAGTGGAGCATCGTAAGGAGATGCAATCCTATGGTAGCCGGTGACAAATAATTGATTCATACGCCATTTGTTCCCTCAGGATCCTGGAGCCTATGTACACCATTGGTTTGGAATCAGGGTTTTCCAACTCCCCTAGGTGGACTCGCCGTGTCCACCCACCCGTTTAAAGCCCTGGACATTCGCTTTTCGTCCTCTCAATTTTGTCAACAACACCCGTGGTGTGAGAAGGCAGTGAGTAGGACTTCTCTGGCAGTGATTGTTCGCACGTTGCCATGTGAGAGCAGTTCGCGAGGGAGGGCGGACTCTCCCCACTTTCGGCCGTACCAGGGCATTTGGGGTTTACTGAGTTGATATTCATTATGTCTAAAATACATTTTTTAGATACTAACTCATGAGCTTAATTGTGGGCGTTTAGTGTACGAGATCTACTATAAATAGAAAAAATCCAACTAATGTCACGTAATCAGATTATTTAAAGTATAGTTAATTGTGTATAAATGATTTATGGCGTTGATCCCAACATTTATAGTTAGTCATGCGTTATATTTTTTTTTAAACAACTGCCAGTTTGCTCATTTCTTATCTAGTGTCCTTACTGACCATACTTAACAACATCTTAGTATGAACTGACTTATCGAATGGTATTATGAATATTTTATTACTTTTTATCTATTTCTTTTGCATATTCTAATAAGTTACTTTATTCCTTTTCAGTTTTCTAAATTTGATGATTTATGCTAAGCTAATTTTGCTTTGTTTTATATCCCAAGCATAGTCTTAATATTTTACTATTCTTTTTTCTTTCCACTAACTGATTTAATTTTAAAGCAAAGTTTAAGTGAGAATGCTAAAGAAAAACAATATTCTGTTTATAATATGCAAAATTCTACTTTCGTTTTAAGCTATATTGATGTCTAGTTTGACAATAAAGAGTAAAGTACTTGAACATATAGACCACTTCATTCATCACTGTGGATGGGTTGATGTCAGGCAAAATCTTCGTACATTAGTATAAAGGTCTTGTTTGACTTTTACCAACTAATGTTGCTTATAACTCGGGTTAGATGTCTTTTTTTCATCACTTGATAAGTATTCTGTGCATCCAAATCACAATTTATTGGGTACATGTTCTTTTTGCTTTATATAACTTACACAGATCTCTGTAAATCGGCTACTTACAGGTTTGTTTATTTTGGTTTCTTTCCTGTTTAGGTATTTGTGAAAAGTGTAAATGCATTTCAAGTCAGCCCATATGTCAGGCATGTATTCTCCTTGAACAGCTTAATTCTGGTTTGCCACAGATAACCATAAAAGATACCGAATAGTATTCTCAAATTGACTAGTCGGATGATATCAATTTTTCTAAAGATTTTGTATTATGCATCAGATATTGTAAATATATCCTTATTTGGATAGTGGTTCTTACAAGTGGAAATTTTTATTTTAAGAACGCCAAATTAGTGTTGCATTTTTTGAAGTTCTCATGTATATAGTAATGGAATGAAATACTGTTATGTAAGTATTCTACAAATTGATTTTTCCCTCATTTTTGTTACCACCACATAAACAGAAAAATAGACAACGTAGGAACTGATCCATAGGTGTATTGATTCCTATCAGTACATCTCAAACATGCACAACGATTAAAAACTAACGAGAGCATAAAAATACTGAGTAAAAACACCACTTAGAGTAAAAACTTGAAATTAGAAAAAAGTCGAAAGAATGAATAAAATGTGTGGAATGCTACACTTTTCAACTTTGAGGGAAATACAAACAATGAATGCATTCACATTACTATGTTCGATTTTCAACTATATCTCTAATGATGAAAAGTATTAGTTTTAAAATGTAGTAATTACCGGTTGATTAAAAGTAAGTCATATTTATTACAAAATAGATTTTAGTAAAAGTGCTAATTAGAGCAATGATGAAATTAATTTTATCACCTTTAAAGTTAGTAAACGATAATAAGAGTACAAGTGAGTACCTTGATATTTCCTCCACACATAGTTCTAGCTTCAACTCTGAACGATTCGACAGTTTCAGATTCGATTTTTACATCGTATTAAAAGGTTTTGTTATAACAAATCATCTTGATATAGTTCTTATCATCAGTTGACTTATATTTGAGAATAATTCGAAAAAAGGAAAGGAAAATCCAGCTGTTCAATATTCTGTAGTTTTCAGTAGTGTTACGGTTGAGAACCGTCCGTGACAAACTATCTATGAATTAAACGTATTCCTATAGCTCAACAACTTGTTACTGTCGATACTATAGATATGGTTTGTCTAAGTCTTTGGGACTTTCAATTCTCAAATATGAGTTATTAAAAAATTACAAAGTAATCTTTTGGTATTTTGAAGAATTAATGAATGTACGCGTAGGTGGGGTTTTTATAGTTATATGAATTTCAATTGGAGAGGGAAAGATCGATCAACATCTAGGTAGATAATTCCACAAGTGTGAAATCGAAACTAAGACAAAGTGTGCGTATGTTAGCAAGCTATCTAAACTATAAATGTAACATAAAAGGAATGTATACAAACATAAAAAAATAAAATGAACAGGTTTTCTTTATTCAGACAGATAAGAGGGATTGAATTTTTAAAGTAATTATGTCATATTAGAAATAGTAAAAAGGGAGATTTTGTACTTGAATTAACGTGTTTAGAGCACCCAGTTTTCACTCTGTAACATTTATGAAGTTGCTTCGGCATTTTAAAACACATGGATACCATATAATAACGAACTAAGCGTCTCGTGGTCGTGTTCATGATATGGTTTTCAACATTACATTGTTCTTAATATAGGGGTCAAGTTTGTCTACCTTGATGTTTCATTAGACCCGAATTAACTGATATACATATTCGTTGAGGTTTTACTGTGCCAAATAGTTCAGTTGAAGAACAGTAAGTCTCGGATCTAACGTCGAAGTAGAACGCGTACTGAAGTGCAAAGACGGTTGGATATTCAATATCTTCAACTGTATTCTTTTAGACACAAAATTCCAAAAGTAAAAATAAGTTGGAAAATTTCTGATTTAGAATTAGCATATTTCCAACCGGATCTTGGTTTCATTAAAAAAGCTCAAATTAGTGAACATGTGAAATAAAAAGTTGCCACAGAAAGTCTGTATGTAGCTTGTTTCAATCACAAGTACTTTGTGTTTTGAGATTAGGATTCTGGGTTATTGGGGCATTCATCATAAATCCAGTTACATGTTTGTATCCTCATAATGAAATATCCTTCTAAAACTTGGGTTCAACTGATTTTGTCATTCGTTTTGTCTTAAAGTATTTCTCATTTATTTTCCAACGTGTCATTTGATCACATTTTTCTGACCCTAAAAATCATACATGGGAGGTTTATTCCTTTTGGAAAATGGAATAACACGATTAAAACAGAAGTGTTTTCTCCTTAATGTAGCTTTTCAGTATGACTACCATCTTAACATCCTACCTTCTCTACTTAACAATGCGTCCAGAAGATAGTCGTTTTAGCTTCTCGAGATCATGTGTAAACTTGAGTTCACACTGAATTGATACAAAAAATATGGGTCTCAGAATGTCACACTAAACGAAGCTTGCACTTGTCACCCTGGCCGAATTCATGATGAATTGATGCCAAAAATATTGACCTAAATAATATAATTTTTTATCCCATCATATCACTGGCTATTAATAAAAAAGGGAAAACGAGTTCGTGTTTTGGTAAAAAATAAACGAGAGAATTTATACCAGATGTAAGTGTCAGTTGTTCAAAAGTAGATGTGGTCAACACAACAAACAATGACCGTTATTTATCTAAACAGAACTTGAGTTACTAGTGACTTTAAAACCAGTCTGAGAATCATTAGAAACTATGGAACGCTGGACACCTGTTAATACTAGCTTATCACTTCTATTTGTGCTCACTAAATAACTAGCTTTAAGCCAACCAGCAAAGATGACACATTTATCTCCCTAAATCCAAATCTAATAATATACATGTTCAACTAAAGTCAATCATATATATAATCATCTCTTGATTCAAAAGGAGTTTTGTTCTCTGAGCTAGATGATTTGGTCGTTGAGCTTTAGATAGAAGTTTGTGCCGATGATGTTGTTTAGAAGAACAGTGAAAGCTCTACGACCAAACCATACAGCTAAGAGAACAAAACTCCACCTCAGTCATCTACCTGAGCTACAAAACATTTCCACAATCTCAGCTGGAAGTAACTTAATAATTACAGGTATTCAATGAACGTAAGTATGTTAAACGATTTGAAGATTACATTAACCTTTGCTAAAAATGTAAATCAGGTGACCCTGCTGAGAAAGGTTCTTTTCCACTCATATTTGTTAAGATACATATTTTGGCCAATTTTTACGATTGTCCACACTACAATAAAATTGTTCAGCATGTAGTGACCAGGAATACGTTTTCCAGTTTACATAAACAGGACTCGATAAGTTTGTAGTGTAAGGGAAAATATCGATCAAACCAAAATTAAATTTTCTAAAATCCCGTTTTCTGGTTTTCTTACATGGAACACTGTTGGACAATTCAGCTGGCATGTTTAATTCTTCTTACTACTCAAATGGAAATATAAAATTCTTATAAGTCTAACGATTATTATGGTAAACAGTACGAAAGTTGATCACGAGTAGGAATAGTAGTCACAATAATATCACAGTAAAATCTACAGTTGAATACTCTCCTTACGAACGTTTAAGGTCAACATAAGGTCATTTAAAGCGACTATGATACAAGTATACAATGACTGGTGGAGCCATTTCGTGTTGGGTAAGCCAGTTACCCACCCAAGACAACGGAAGATGGTTGCAAAATGTCGTGGGTTGATTGAAATTAGACATTAACACCGTTGGGTGGCAACTCACAGTGGCCTAGACATTAAGAGTTCGCGTACAAAACCGATGGTCCTGGGTTCGACTGCCTTTAGTGAGGTGTCGTGTAATTATTTACGATGCACCGTAATCTTGTTGAAATCAGAGAAAATTCTTGCTGAATATGATTTCCATTGTTCAGTTACATAGTCCATTATCCTTCGGAAAAATTTACTATTTTAACATATGATTGGAAATATTCAAATGCTAATCATAAAACTTGGTCTTAACCGTCTATACTTTGTTCTGTAACAAGAAATTATCGATTCCTGAGGTGAAATAACACAATTGTAAAAGCCAATTTAAACATTGCAAATTTCAGGTAATTCTGTGACATATATTTTGCTTGAATTGAATGTCAAACTGTTTTTTGACAAACGCTTGTGATCTGTTACATGAAATAGGATTTATCACCGGTGTATGGAAGACTACATGAAGCAACATAAATAAACAGCTTATATTCCATGTTATTTTAAACACACACAGAATCCAATTAATTCTCTCTTTTGTTATGCTCCGATAAGGTTAATGAATGGTAACTTTGGGATCTATTTATGAACCAATATTATGCATATATTTTTTTATCGTATAATTGCTAAATAACTAAACTATTCATATTCATGTCCCTCTTATTATAAGCTTTATTTTGACCCATAGACTATTGTCATACGATTTACCGTTCTTGGATTATGCCCTGTCTATCACTTACTATCTCCCCTATTCACAGCCACTTTTGGCTGAATCTTATACAAATGTTGTTTCTTATTTTATGGTACGATGTGGCCAGTTTGGTTGGTATATAAACTCAGTATATTTAAAATATAACGATTCATACTGCAGAGGCCGTTATTGGTGTTCTGGGCTTAACTGGCTGGGTTAGGCAGAAAGCAGGACCGACAAGTACTCTAGACTGCTCGTACGGGTTTCGTGTTTCATCGGTCCGATCGATAATTCTCTGCTTTCTGATTGGCGGTCTTATTACGTCATACGTTAACAGGAAATTCACTCGGCCACAAGCTATAACATCTTTAGAGCATTTCTTTCAGATATTTTCGTTGTAATGCTTAATACTTCCAAATGAGAATTAATTGAAGATTTGATGAATCTACAAGGAAGATTCACGAGTGGTTGAAAACGAATTGCTAAGTGGAGAAGAAAGGATGTTAAGATGGTAGTCATACTGAAAAGCTACATTAAGGAGAAAACACTTCTGTTTTAATCGTGTTATTCCATTTTCCAAAAGGAATAAACCTCCCATGTATGATTTTTAGGGTCAGAAAAATGTGATCAAATGACACGTTGGAAAATAAATGAGAAATACTTTAAGACAAAACGAATGACAAAATCAGTTGAACCCAAGTTTTAGAAGGATATTTCATTATGAGGATACAAACATGTAACTGGATTTATGATGAATGCCCCAATAACCCAGAATCCTAATCTCAAAACACAAAGTACTTGTGATTGAAACAAGCTACATACAGACTTTCTGTGGCAACTTTTTATTTCACATGGTTTCATCTTTCAGATTGACAAAACCTTTTTTAAATAAACAAATCACTTGTTATCAGAAGGGGTTTTGTGGAGTTTTTAGTATTTTCATAGTTGGAAATATGAGTCGATTGAAGGTAGACTACCAAAGAAAACCTTGCGAGGTCATGGATGCACACTTCTGAGGAGTCCCACAATAGGACGGAACGACCATCCAGTGCTTTCACGTTTTCCATCGTGATCCAGCTTCAATTGACTCATGCTTTCAACTATGAAAATGAATTGCTATCATTTTTATGGATTACTGATAAAATTAATATGATATGCATGATCATTTTATATGATGATCAAATATGATCGGAAATAATATTGATTTATTGATTGGTTATATTAAATCTTAATTGAAGGTTCTTATTGAATAAACTTTAGAATTCATTAAATAAATAAATAATTGAACCAATGAATATTTTACTTAAAATACACATAATTTTATTTAATTAATCAAATTGAGCAATTTTAGCGTGATTTTTTTGGGGGGTGTTGTTTTTGATCTGTTATTTCCTCCAAAAAACACACAAAGAGAATCAATAAATGGGCGAGAAGATTTTTAAGGTCACGTAATATTAAGTACAATAGTCTGGACGAGGATAAGTTTTTAAAAAAAAAATATATATAGAGAGAATGGGATTATATTTCGAATTTTGGGCGATTTCCAGTTATTATTCAATAAAATAATTGATAGGGATTATTTTAATTCAATATTAACTGAGAAAATTTGAGGAACCAAGAACCAATGATCAGTTGTTTTACATCAGAGTTTCTATTCAGTGTTGAATCTATATCTCTCTATATGGTCCATCGTGAGCCATGAATTGCTTTTTTGGTGTAGTAATTTTCAAAGCTTAGTTTATCTTATTAGTTTTTGTCACAAACTGATATTATATGTAAAGATTTACTTACAGATGATACTGGAAGTTTGAAATGTGGATGATTGAATACTGGATCAGTGGTTTTGGATCTAATGCAATTAACAATAAATTTTAAAAACCTTTCACAAACCTCCATCTTTAACATAAATTCTTCGTTTAAAAATTTTAAATATTCTTACTGATCATTTTATGTAACTGATTTACTGATCTTGAGCTTACATATTAAAATTGTGGTGTGGGCTACTTATATCCACATAAGTAGTATATGGTGATGGTCAGACATAGAATGTATTTCGGCAGAAGATCGATAAGGAAAGAACAGGGATGAAGCGCAATCGGTATGAAAATGTATGAACAATGAAATCAAAGAAGACGGACTGATATTTGCAGAAGGAACAGTTAAGATTGAGACAATTGATTGTTATTTTGCAAATTAACTGTTTACTGTATGGTTATCAGAATTTAGTGAGATAGTCTGTAATTTGTTCTTAAATACATTCGATTGTCCCTAGTCGTGTTCTTATTCATTAAAATATGATTTTGTCAACACTAAAATTGTCAAAAAGACGAATAAGTTTAAAATAAAGATTTTGAAGAAATTCGTGGTCCATTGATTGATGTGAATATACAATATCTCTTGATTTAACTAATAGTAACAATAATATTCATCACTTTGTTTAGTATTGTATATTTAGTACAATATTGGAGTGATATGAATTTTTCTTAACTGTTTTCAATATGATACGATTGAGATATCTATAAGAAATGTAAGAAACTAGTTTCCAAAGTCAATATAATGACACAATACAAATAATAATAACAATAATCTTTCTACAATGAGTCATTATCCAGCGAGATTCTATGTAATTCAGGGCTAAATGATTGATAATTATGATTTTGGTGAATAAATTGATAATAAGTTCACAATTTAAAAAAAATTAAAAGTCTGATAGGTCCTGGATTCGAACCTCGGGAGGTGGGATCGTGGATGCGCACTGCTGAGGAGTCCTACAATAGGACAAAATGACCGTTCAGTGCTTCTAGGTTTCAAAAGGTGGTCTAGCTTCAATTGACTCATGATCTCAACTATTGAAATTATTAGATTTTAGTCTGAATATTTATTTATTTATTAATAGTAAAACTTTAATTATTATGACTTAGAAACTATTCAGACAGTGTAATATTCTTATTCAAACTTGTAGTCTATTCAATAATTCTATTGACTGATAAATATAAATGTTTACATGGTGTACATATTTAATTAGGTTATAACTATAGTTAAAACCGTTCGGTTGCGTATATTATTTAAGCTGTCAGAATAGAATCCAAATCTGTAATTCAACATCTACGACTGCATGAAATAACTATTATACAAAAAAACTCAAAAGAATGATACACCAGAAGGGGTTTTGTGGATCTTATAGTAATTTTAATAGTTGAGATCATGAATCAATTAAAGCTAGACTACCATGGAAAAACACCATGTGGCTCCATTTCGTAGATCGGTTGAAGTTAAACATTAACACCGTTGGATGCCGACTCAGTGGTCCAAAGGTTGAGCGCTCGCGCGCGAAACTGATAGGTCCTGGGTTCGAATCTCGCGAGGCGGAATCGTGGATGTGCACTGCCGAGGAGTCCCACAATAGGACGAAAGGGCCTTCCATTTCTTCCAGGTTTTCCATGGTGGTGTAGCTCCAATTGATTCATGATCTCGACTATTAGAATGATATACAATAATTAGTACATGGCTTTTGCCAAAAAATCTATCTCGTTCGAAATTATCACAATTATGCTTTAAAATGAATAATTCGTCTTAGAAATTTTAATAGATCAGTGAGAAGATACAATTGGTTTGGTAAAAACGGTGACATATTAACATTATACATTTCGAATAATCTGGTAAAATATGTACCCGGTTACGGCATTTTTATTCTATGTTCGAATGAATTATTTTTATATTCTGATTTTCCGTTTACACAACAGTCAAACAAATTTTAATAAAAATACTAGTGGTATTGATGTGTTTAGTTTGTTTATATATATACTATTAACCGGTTGGTTAGACAGAATTTCGATTATTCTTAATTACTACTTATGCGAAATCCAACTTGGCCACTGATATGAACAAGCATTTTACAAATGAATTATACTAAGAGAATACAAATAGGGGATATAGTTTTGATTTTCACATTGTTTCCGATATCATATAAGATAGTCACTATCTCATGTACTAAGTTTTAGTAACCAAAACAAACTTTAATGCTAATACAAAAAGGCGGATAAAATGATAAGAAAAGCACTGATGAGTACTAATTGTTGTGACACAGTAATCAATATCATACTGGCTAAACTACAATGCTATCATTCACATCTACAGTATAGTTGGTAAGCTCTACTATGTATTCTGCTGCAATTTCTGTTAAACGTTTGGAGGGAGTTAATAGGAAATCTTGATATATTTACGCCCAATACTTGTTGTTAAAGATCAATAGGATACTCAGAAAAGTAATGCCTTTGGAGGCTTTGAACTTGCATCAATCAACAGTACAATGGTAGACATAATCTTTAAGTTGTGAGTAGCTGAGTAGAAACCACAAAATACAGTGAATTCATATTATTCTTCCTCAAATGTTGTTTTGGGTACCAGCTGCATGAAGCATAACCGTTAAGCTTGTTAACGTTTCGAATCAAATGAACTATGCCACAACAATGTCAGGTCATACTTGATCGATGCGATTGTTAGCTGTGACAGACATTGATGAGAATATATAAAATCAACTTATCAAGTTATAACAAACAAATTTTATGGGTTCGAATTCATATCAATCTATCGATTTCTTCGAGTATGCAGATATACCTTATTGTTGAGTACCGAATTCCAAATACTTTTCAATAGTAAATATTCAAATGTGGACATATTACATACTTCATCGAAGCTGACAGAGTCAATTTTTCTAAACTGTTACATTTTTAATGTGTAGTTCTGATGCATCAAAAAATCATATTTACTAAATTATACCTTTGCTTTCAGATAACGAGTTTGAAAATAACTTACTGAAACCCTAAGGAGAATGAAGAAAGATAATTTAACAGACGGAGATTTACGAATAGATTGAACAGGCAGATTGAGCAATAACTCAGACACACATGTCACATTAGTTATTCCTTCGTACAATACTTGGCGTGTCTGGATATTCTTGCTATCTTACAACGAAATGATTGTCTAATCACTGGTTCTTCTATATGACAATGGAAATAGGTTTAGTTTAAGCCAGTCGATCATAATATGGGAGCTTTCCTATTCAGGGATTCAGCTTAGTTGCGGTTCTTTGAACCTTTTCCATCAACTCGCTGACTCTTTTGAGGCAGGATCTAACCGCTTGTATGCAGTACTCGAGTTTAGGACGAAAGAATAATACATTCGAAGTCAAAAAGGTTTTAGGCTCGACAAGGCTAAAGGCTCTACGTATTGGTCACAGGATTTTAAAACCTTTGGTGGCTACCGCATTGCAGTGTACAGTATAGTCTTCACGTCTTTTCTAACGATGACTCCTAGGTCATTATACGTCTGAACAACAGATAAACTAATGCTATTATTTAAGTTTATATCTGTACCTTGTTACCAGTATGCATCATAATTCACTTGGGAGCATTTGTCGGAAACTACCAACTTTTAGATCATTCAGATAATTTCTGTATGTCATTTTAAAGCTCGAAACTATCACCTTTACTTTTTATCGTTCTCCATATCTTGACATCGTCAGCATATAACAAAACCGATAATGACAGGAGACTACGAAGGTCATTTACATGTAGGAAGGACAACACTGGCAGTTCAATAAGCACAGTTTCCCAGCTAGACAACTTTGAGTTCACTCGTACTCTTTATTGACACCCAACTAGGAATCCCTTTATACACATTAATAAATTGCCTCCAATCCAGATATCACTTAAATCATTATAACAGTCGGTTGTGAGGATCTTTGTCAAAAGCCTCGCTGAAGTCGATGTAGGCTACATTTATAAGTAACTTTTGATCTCGAAGCGAGCACCAACTTTCACGAGCTATTAATAAGTTAATGAGACATGAATATGCTGTCCTAAAGCCATGCTGCTGTTCAGAAAGAATCCGGTTTCCGTCGAGATACTTAAACAACTTCTGAACTATCTTTTCTACAATTTTAACAACCACACTGGTTAGGCTTACGAGTTGACAGTTCTCAGGTTTGTCTCGCACCTGTTTTGAAGACAGGACTTTCTATAGCATTTTTCCAGTCTTTTGGTAATAGAGCCTCGGCTACGGGAAGATTGGAACATATGCTTAAGAGATTCGCGATAAGATTTGCTAAATCCTTTAGTGACCTAGAATCGGGTCCCATGGATTTGCTTATATATTTCCTCTTCTCTTAGTACGCATATATGTGTTTACGATATTCTAAAGGCTACTTAACAAGTTTTTCTTCGTACAACCTTCTAGACCTGCAGATGGTCGAGGCACAAATATTTCATGCTTCCCAATATTGAGATTTTGTCTCGTCAGTACCCAGTAATTTATTCATACACCTTTTCTAGTGCTTGCCAATATAAGTAGTTCAGTTAATCGGCCAGTCACATTATAAATTAAATTTATGTATATACCTCCAAAAAACTATGCCCAATAATTTTGTTCCGGTGACATAAAAACTGTTAGTTAGTTAAGAACAAATGTCCATTTCATGTTATTTGAATATGAAAACATGTACACATTATTTATTTGGATGGCATCAGCTGCTTTCTAATCACAAGTTAGTTTTATCTCATTTTTGATTTATATATATGAATGATTGAATTATATATACTTCCTAGTAAGTTCAACACGTGAAAAAAGAATATACGTATAAACAATTAATTTCTGCTGAATATTTGCATATATTTTTTTTAACTATTACGCTTACAGAACATTACACCCAAAATCATCCAATTGAGATGCGAATCTTTGCTAACAGTTGATATAATTCAATCTTTTCATTGAACCTTGTTAATTTCCTCTCTCACTGAACTGGTGTAAAGCATAGTAACTGGAATTGATCACAGTGTGTGTGTGTGTGCGCGCCAGGTTCTAGATGAATTCTGATTAAAAAGATCTACAATTGAGTCACTCATTTTATGTGAAGACTAATGATACTTATACACATACTAAGACAGACGTGTAGTTCAAACGTGCGAATAAGTGTTTGATAACTAAATCCTATAACTATCAAGTTACTTCTCCACTAAAACATGAGATGAATCCTAAAAAGCCGATATTTATTAAGTTCAATATATTTTTATTCAAAAAGAGTTAATCCATTATTCAAACACAAAACTACATAGATAGTCGTGGTTAAGTAATTTAAAACAGATGAATAGTTAGACAGACAAAACAAAGACACAAACGTACACCAAACAGGCAGATAATGAAAATCATTCAACATTAAAATCTATGAAATAGAATACGTACTAAGATATCTATGTATATACGAAACACAATGTGAAAATAGAAGAAACACAGGTAGCATGTATGTGCATACAGGTAAATTATTCTAACACAATCCATACAGACACAATAAAAAAAACAATCTTAGAGAATTATTCTAATAAGAAAGAAAATATAAAAGAAGAAACACAACAAGAAGAAAACATCCGATTTTCATGGGGGTAGACTAGGATCACTGTGAAATAACAGCTGTTGATTACAATTATGCAATAATTTACGAATAAAAGGTGGACAAATGTTTAATAACCAACTATAAGTTAATAAAAGGTATGCACAGACACTTATCCATTTACAAACAAATGCACAAATATACTAAGCACAGAAATACAGTATGTAAACAGAGATTCGCGTTTAAGTTACAATAATCCAGTTTTTTGTAGATAATAATAAAAGTGTAATTGGAAAAATATATATATAGGACAACATAAGAGTAGGTAATAAGCATGATAAAAGGCACGTACATAACACAATCTACGAGAGAAAAAATAAACACAATAGAAAGTAATTATATATTATTGTTAATTCTTATTTCAAAACTGACTAGCAAGTTATTCAGAAGTATACACACACACACTAATAGGTTAATGGGGATAATTTAAAATGCAACGACAAAGTTTGAGATGATGGAGTTAAATCAAAGTACAGGCACACACACAGGTAGATAGATAAAAAGAGAAGGATCGGAAAACTAATTTAAAAAAATTGAATATTAAGCAAAACTTATTCTAAAGAGCAAAAAAAATACTGATTTTAAGCATCATTCAATGGTGGTATCACATGGATAGCAACAAGACAGGAAGTAGATAAGAACAAAACCAAATCAATACGCCATGGCAAATATATCTAGAGTCAATGAACAAACAAATAAGCAACGAAAGATCACGGTGGATAAATTCAAATGAAAAATAATAAAGATAACAGCATGAAAGTCAACGAATTGTACAAGCGGACAAATATCTTTGAGGAGAGATTGCTCTTTTTTTGGAGGGGGGGGTAAGAAGATCACTTCTACAAATAAGAAATATTGGTGGAATTTTCATAGGTAGTAAATCAAACAGTAATAAAACAATGCACGATTAAAATTATACACATATACATGAGAATTTGATATTGCGCTGTATACATACTGAATGAAAGTCGATAGGTTGGCATATACATATACATAAAGGAAATAGTACCTCTAAGAAATAAGACAACAAAAATTATATCATCAGTGCACAAACAAATACATTACTAATATCACTGTATGCTGTATGTTAGCAATTACACAAGGAATTAGAAATGGTGATAAATGGATGTGTACATATTATGTACACTTTGAATGAATACATAAGATTATACAATAAAACAACGATGATTGTGACGACGTAAACGAGAATGGGCATGATAGTTAGTGAGATAATGAATTTGGCGATCGTTAAACGCACCTTTACGTTTACTGGGAGTAGATAAAAGAATGAATGTGAGCATTGAAATAAAATAAGGTTAAATCAAATGATATATCAATGGTCATAGAATAAACATATGATGGAAATAATTTACATAGTTGCAAGCGTGAGTCAATTGAAGCTAGACCACCAAGGAAAACCTCGAAGCACTGGACGGCCGTTTTGACCTATTGTGGGACTCCTAAGCGGTGCGCATTCACGACCTCGCCTCGCAAGATTCCAACCCAGGACCTACCAGTCTCGCGCCAGAGCACTTAACCGATAAACAACTGAGCCGGCATCCGATGGTGTTTATGTCTAACTCCAATCAATCCACGAAGTTGAGCGACCGTCCCCCAATTGTCTTCAGTGAGTTTCTATCTCACAACAGACGTGGTTTGAACTCCAATGGTCACTGCTTCTCACTAGAACTCCAGGATTTGTCTCTTGATTTTAATATATAGTCAGTCCTTAGTTATAACTATTAAGGGAAGAATTCACTTTACATATATGAAGTGTATGATGTGAAACACTATAATTCATTATAATTGGAATCAACAATCCATATACTAGATATATGTTAATCGATTTCAAGGTTATTTTCGAAAATAAATAAATAAAGATTTAACATGTAAAACGAGATCGGATATTCTAGCTTAACATATAAACTCTCCTCTTTAATCAGTATTATTTTGAGGTATCCTACATATATGAAGGAGGATAAGTTTTTATTACTATAGATATTAATAGCATCTACTGTGTAGAAAGGTCACCATTTGGTCGTTCATCATATGATTAAACATTAGATACTAAGAAGAAAAACAACTTGATCATTTTCAAAAAAAACACTATTACATAACATAATTTAATTGTATGTTGGATAAAACACAGTAAAGAATCAGGTGATGTTTGACAATAGTTTTTCTAGTTAACTGACAGGTTAGTTAGTTAGTTAGATCCCAGTGAAGAATTTTATAACTTTTTTCCCCAACACATTCACATTAAAATCACTTGTTTTTTTTATTGAATAGAGAAGAAATTTCGTGTTAAACCGATAATAAGTTCGGAAATTCAAACGACTGACAGTTTCAAGTTCAACTAGATTTTAATATAGTAAATGCTGTGATAAATAAGCTGGAATATTTAAGAGATGGTCTACAAAAAGTCAGTTACCAACTACTATTGTGGAACTATAAAATAAACAGTAAAGGATTAATCGTAAGCGAAAATAAAATTCACACAACAATGGCGGATGTGTCACTTACTCTAAAATATAATGACACTATGTTATCGACTTACAGAGATGACGAATAAAGTATTCAATGATGGTGGTCACTGGTTTGAAGTTACACAACAGTTTAGTGGCAAACTTTAGTTATTTAACATTTTATTTTTACTTATTTAAACACATAAATATTGGTACAAAGGGGCACCAGATATATATGCGCCGCATAAATCTCATTTGATTTGTGTGAGGGCTGTGATACTACCCGGGTGCCAAAACTGAAGCAGGTGGTTTTCTTAGGGGGCCACACCTGAAGCCTTTGACCTAAAGGTCTAACCCACAAGGCAGTGGAGCATGTTAAGGAGATGCTGCCCCACGATTGATTTATACACTATTTGTTCCCCCAGGATTCTGGAGCACATGTGCACCATCGGTTTGGAGTCAGGTTTTCCCAACTCCCCTAGGTGGACTCTCTGTGTCCACCAACCCGGTTAAAGTGCAGGACATTCGCTTTTCGTCCTCTCAATTTCGTAAACAACACTCTCGCCACGAGAAGGTAGTGAGTAGGACTTCCGTGGCATAGGCTATATACGCGTGTCCATGTGAGAACGTTTGGAGAGGAAGAGCAGACTCTCCCCACTCTCGGCCGTATCAGGGCATTTTTTAAACCATAATTAGTTAATATAAGATCTCTTTTGACAATGCCGAGCATAACGTTCTTTGATTATGAGTTTAGTACATAACTAACGAAATACTTTCCGGATTTAAAACAATATTCGTTTTACATTATTGCTATAAATACATATGGTTATCAGTAATATAATCAATACACAGTATTAATTTATTTCGTAGTAAAGTCTAATGTATCTAGAATGTTGACATTTATTTTGTTATTAATTAAATGAATATAGACAGTAGTTTATATGCGAAAAGTGTAATTGGATTTTATTAAAATATGAATATACGTTAAAAATATCAATAGTTGCTAATATTCGTTATAATGAATTACCTGCGAATCAATTCTATTGCATCTTCACTGGACATTCCAAGTTCCATTAACGCAACAGCTACCAGGACCGGAGCCCTTAAATATTTCAGTTAAAAAAAATACAGAAGGCTCATACAATTTAGTCAAACCATTATACAAACGACAGTCTATTGGGTAATATATATATATATATATATATATATATATATATATATATGATTTAAGGAAACAGTAAGTATTACTGATGGGTTTTAAGCTAAGTACACAAATAACTCTAAACTTCAATTCCTTTTATCACTAAAATGAAACTGAGTGAACTTACATTGCTCTAGAAAATCAATAATGGTAAATTACGACTTGAAAAATTCTGAATTCGGATGTGATCTTGATTTAGAAATTTCTTAAGGAAAGTTTGCTCTTTAGGAAGTCACAAAAAAAGTGCATTTCAAAACTAATTATAAAGGGTAATGCAGCCAGGATCAATAACTGTGGTTGATACTAAGCCATATAATCTAAAGTCTCAAACCACTGATTGCAGTTACAATGCGGATCTCAAACGAGTAGTTTACATTTATTAAATTTGGCTTAGACAGACAATAACTTCATTAGTATGATAGGTATGTGGACCATAGTTAAACAACCTCCGTCAACCAGGCTGTTTAGTCGTAATGCAGGACGGCTTGAGAGTGGGTAACCACGACTTCACAAGGGGTCATTATTTGTTTGGTGACTTATATATAAGGACAAGATTTATTTTTTCTTATTCATATCCTTATTGAGAAACATTTTGCCAGTCGATATATATATATATATATATATATATATATATATATATATATATGTCAATGGAAAAATTCTTTCTGAACAAGGATATAAATAAAAAACGATGAAGTTTGTTCTTCTAAACAAAGTGCCAAATAAGAGAACGATTTCCGGTAGAAGAGGTAGGTAAAGAGAAATATTTAGTGAGCTAGAAAATCCGAGTTCTTGAAGAAAATTGACAATGATATTGCTATTTTTTTAAATGGACACGAAAAAACGCTAGGTAGTAGCGTTGTAGCCCGTTAGATAAATGTTTCCAACTCAAGAGTTAGTGTTTGCCTTTGAAAATTGCGATTTTAGCCATTGAAGTAATAAATAATTACAACTATCTTATTTATTTGAACATATAAATATTGGTACAAAGGGGCACCAAATACATATGCGCCACACAAACCTCATTTGATTTGTGTGAGGGCTGTGATACTACCCGGGTGTCCAGACAGAAGCAGGTGGTTTTCTTAGAAGGCCACACCCCGAGTCTTTGACCTAAGGGTCTGACCCACAAGGCAGTGGAGCAACGTCCGAAGATGCGATCCCATGGTAGCCGGTGACCGACGATTGGTTCATACGCCATTTGTTCCCTCAGGATACTGGGGCCCATCTGCACCATTGTTTTGGGATTAGGGTTTTCCAACTCCCCTAGGTGGACTCACCGTGTCCACCAACCCGGTTAAAGTGCCGGATATTTGCTTTTCGTCCTCTCACTTTCGTAAACAACACCCCTTCCATGGGGAGGCGGCGAGTAGGACTTCCTTGGCAGTGGTTGTATACGCGTGGCCATGTGAGAGCATTTGGAGAGGGAGAGCGGACTCTCACCGCTCTCAGCCGTACCAGGGCATTTGGTGGCACAACAACTATCTAGTATAATGTGGGTGTATTTTCAGTAGGAAAGATGAGTTCAGTTACAGACAAGTAAGATGCCTACCTACTGTAAGAACTTCTCTTTGAATAGCGCAATCTATAGACCGGGATTAGTTGTTTATTGATACTTATCAGGTTAGGTAGTTATTTCTTATCAAGGGACTGCTATCATTCATGGTTGACTTGATGAACAAAAGTGGATGATTACTGTTCAAACGATTTGGTACTGCAACTAATTACATGTTACTTGTAATTTTTTCAAATTTTATCATCAAACCAGGGCGAATTTCGGTCAAAGAAATTTCAAAATACAGAAGAATCAGTCATTTGTAGTCAAATTATTGACTGAGAGCACTAGAATGAGTAACCAAACACTAAACGTAATATACGTACACATATTTGTGTGGGATGGGGTATGAAAGAGAAACACACCTGTGGCAAATGTATTACAGGATTCACAGTAATGACCGGAAATGTTTGTATACAAGTCAGTACACGAACACAAAACATTGTGAAGAAGGATCGATGTTGGAAATACTTAATCCAAATATCTCTAAACTGTGTTTAAATATAAACGTCAATTCAAAATAAGTATTTAACGGAGGACGAAAAACTAACAAATCTTGACTAGGTTAAGGTCAAACGAGAACTTAGTAAACAATTATTTTATTTACGGCTTATATATATATATATATATATATATATATATATATAAATTCAGAAAGACAGGTTATATCCCTCATTAAATATGCACTATGAATATGAAATGAGAAATATCGATAGTACTAGCTGAAAATGTGACAGAACGATTGCAAGTTCATAGCATTCACGCAAAAAGCCTTAATGTTAACAATTCAAAAATTATTAAATAAAGACAGGACTGTTTGCTCTCATAAACTTAACTATACGAGTAACTGACAAACATTAATCTTGATGTGACAATTCAAATCTGCCGCGTTCATAACGCAGTCGGGTTGTGTAGATTGGTAAGCCGAATCTCTACAGTCGCAACAAGAACGGCTGGAGAGTGTTACGATAGAAATGAGTAATTATTGTATAGCAAAATGATTTGCACAATAATGAGAGCGTGTCAGTCATCATCAATGTAGAATCTGGGATGAATGTTTATCAGTTAAAATTACTATACGTTGGAGTTACATAGTAAGAAAGGAAATAAGATAAACAGAGGAGAAGAACGACTTACAACTGTAATGGATATCGAAACATGAGAGGAGCGATTTAGAAGAAGTGGGGTTGAAAAATGAAGATTTAGAAGTAACACTAACGCGGGTCAGATCAGAAGTAAATCACTTCATAAATTGGTGCTGTGTCGATCTGCACATTCCAGTTGATAGAATTAATCTTTATTAGTGAGGAATGTAGTAGAAAATTACAACAGGATACGTTTCTACACTAAGCTACTATTTCGAAACTACAAATTCAACACAATGAACGAGACTACTACTATTCTTTTCTACATTGTCACCAACTAGAGTGAAAAGTCTAATTTGTATAAAAACTTTCTCGATAGAGGCGCTAGAAGAGTCACATTACTAATTTAAATTACGTATCGATTACTAACTACGGTTTCACCAACTGAGCACTTGTCACTGAATCTCAGAGGACGAGTTGTTTGGCTTCCTTCAGGAGTTCGTAAATTAAAATGTGTGTTACACACGTCTAACTACCCTCTTTCTTGATGGTCAATGCTTGCTAATGTAGAAGTAGGTTGGAAGAATGCAAGGAGTGGACAAACGAAAATGTAGCGTCAGTTGATGAAGTCATTGAATATTGGTCTAAGCCACGTTGGTGGATGAAGACTATCCGGTTGGGGTCTGAGTAATAACTGCGATCAGAGGTTGGAGACTGAGTGATATGGCTCAGAATCGTTCACAATGCCACTAGATGAGTTCACTCTTTATCTCATTCTAGACTTTAGACTCCAGTACATCATACATCTTTTCAATGCCTTTTCAAACCATGTTCCCAAAATTTGGTCTTTCTCATTATCGTTACTATTACGTTATTTCGATCTCTTTTGTTATTTTTATATCGTCATGTTAATCAGGTATGGTAACTTGGGCAAACGAACATATGTACCAAGATCTATTTCGTTGATGCTTGTATGCCTAGTCCCATCGGTTCTTCCTACAGCCCTTTTATATAACAACTTTCCTTGTCTTCTATTTATACCCTCTATTCAGCTACGGTTAGGTCATTCCGGTCCTCTAATATGAACGGATCAAGGACCCATCGGTTTATAGAGATAACTTTATCAATAATCAAGGCCTATTTGGGTACCCAAGTCAAAGTAGCTGGAATGCGGTCCAAGCCTGTTCCCTACTAATAAAAAACTAATCCCATGGAGAATAAAGCACAGAACCACACTTAACTACAACCGTTCGTCTAGATTTAGGTTTGACTTAACGGTATAGACGTACGACTTTCGATCAGTAAGTCAAAGGTTTGAGAAACAGCTTTATATATTGAAGTTTGCGGAACTAGTATTACCAACAGTTTACATAAAATGAGCGTCCGACACCCTATTACATGAATGTTCACATGGTTTTTGCAACAACATATGTCCACTATGACAAGTTGAAAGACAACTAATAAGATGCCTAAAGAACTCAGTGAAGCCGAAAGCAATAAATAAGTTATTGACTGAGATTAGAGCAAAATAATAAGCCTTGAGAAAAAAGCAAACCAAATGAATTATAAGTATGTGATATGCCCAGGAACAAAACTCCCCAAATTTAATTTAGCATACAGAGAGTGAAAGATTTTCACTGGTTTTTAGTTTTATCGTATTAATTAATTTTCTGTGATTTCGTGACAGTTGTTCAGTTTAATAATTTTCGTAATTATCAACCAGTGAATCGAACAGGTATATAACTGAGTGAACTTAATATATTTTGGATTTTTTAGAGGTCTATACTAATTTATTTTGCTGGATGTGTTTTGGAGTAGTCAGGTTTAAGGGAGAAAATCTTTTGTATTCTAGTTTGAAGCGTTGTCAGATAAGTAGCCTTTACTACAAATTATATCAACGGTTGAATAAATAATAATTCTAATAAGTTGGAGTTAGCAGCAGTTTTGTTAATCATTGACAAAAAGACTTGTAAAGATACACAGGAACATAAATGTCTGGGAAAATGTAACTTGTTTCACACTTGTCTTTTTACAAAAAGCCGCAAACACGAAATATGTATAAAAACTAAATGAATATCAGTGGCTTGAGGAAATAAATGGTGAACCTCACCTTCCATATCCAGCTATACAATGAACAGCGATTGGCCCAGGTACCAGGTGGTTTTGATCAACATGAGCGGTATTATTTTCCCCATAAAATCGATTTCTGAGGAGAGTGAACCATTCTGTGAGAATATTCTCGGGTGGAGGTGAACCATCACTGAATTCCCAATGCTAATATTTTTCCGATAGAATCAGAGAGAGGATAATATAAAGCTGTGACTAAGGATATAATAAGTAAAACTTAAGTATAAGGGGAAACAAATAGTTGTTTTCTACAAAAGAAACCTTTATTTATTTATTTAAACATAAATATTGGTACAAGGAAGCACCAGATACATATGCGCCTCACAAATCTCATTCGATTTGTGTGAGGGCTGTGATACTGCCCAGGTGCCCAGACTGAAGCAGGTGGTTTTCTTAGGGGGCCACACCCCGAGCCTTTGACCTGAATATCTGATCCACAAGGCAGTGGAGCATTGTGAGGAGATGCAGTCCCATGGTAGCCGGTAATCAACGGTTGATTCGTACGCCATTTGTTCCCTCAGGATACTGGAGCCCATGTGCACCACTGGTTTGGAATCAGGGTTTTCCAACTCCCCTAGGTGGATCCTTCACATCCACCAACCCGGTTAAAGCGCCGGACATTCGCTTCTATTCTATACAAATCAACAAATACAGGTCAAGACAACCAGTGTGGCAGCAGCTTCTGCATCAGTAGACCTCGACATATACAAAGTAAAAAGCAAGATCCTCAAATACAACACAGAGTACACCAACACAATCACACTTGATGGAAGGACTCTGGAAGATATGGAGACTTTCACTTATCTAGGTAACATCATTGGTGAACGCGGAGGATATGATGCGGACGTAACGGCGAGGACTGCCAAAGCAAGGACAGCATTCCTACAGTTGAACATATTGAACTCAAAACAACCGTCAACCAATATCAAAATGGGAATCTTCAATACAAACTTTAAGACAGTTTTACTGTACGGAGCTGAAACTTGCAGAACTACCACAACCATCATCAAGAGGTACAAGTATTCATAAACAATTGTCTACACAAGAGACTCAATGTCCATTGGTCAGATACCACCAGCAAAAGCCTACTGTTGGAGAGAACAAACCACCTTTTCGTCCTCACTTTCGTAAACAACACCCGCGCCACGAGAAGGCAGTGAGTAGGACTTCCCTGACAGAGGCTATATATTCGCTGGCCATATGAGAGCATTTCGAGAGGGAGAGGAGACTCTCCCCACTCTCGGCCGTACCAGGGCGTTTGGGGGCTGATAACTTTAACAGAAATTAATTTCCTCTATATAGTAACGTATTATATATCATTTTCTAGTTACAGCTGTCATGAATTACAAAGAATAAACGAAGAAATAAAGTGAGAAATCTAAAGCTGGGATATATATAAAAGAAATCTTCTTTAAAAGGTTTAGATACTGTGGTAATTTTGTATAACATGGGTGCATTTATAGAACTAGGCTTTGTCTATAGACACGTCATTATTGAAGACCTTAAAAACTAAATTAGTCTTCAGATAACTCATGGATAGGTGCAGCTCCCTCCTAAGTGACTCTATTATGACTTCGATATATAAGACATGTATCTAAATGTATAGGATTGTTAGACAAATGTTTTAGCTACTTAATATTTAACTGGAAGGAACTATCTGCAGCATTGATTTCTTGACCATAGCTATCGTACGAGTTAGTACAAATGTGGATCGGTCTACGTCCCCACGCATTGGTAGGGCGAGCTGAAATGACCAAAACTGAATAGCAAAGTAGAGGTAGTATCACGATTAGTAAAAACGATTGAACACAGATAATATGGAGTTCGAAAAGAAGAGACGGATTCGCAGTATGTGAAACATGAAATAGTATTGCACATGCAAACTAGGGAGGGTGGACAAAGAAATGTACCTGTAACACCATGATGTATAAGTTCCTACGAGGCTCCAATAATTGCAATGAGTAAAAATGGAACTAAACGACGTAATGATAATAAGTATCCATTAAAATGAGAATGGTTACGTAAATTTAACTCATCGTTATGAGCTGAAATCTGATATTTTATCAACGGTCGCAAAACCCAGTGCTAAGTCTCGGACAAAAATCCTCAGCCGGCATATCTCAATAGATCGAACCTTTTCACTATTAGACAAATGAATGAAAATGAACAGATGTACCAACTACTACTTTCCACTAGTTTGGAGCGAGATAATCTTTAAAAAACTGAAATATACGACTTTGGCTAGATGGGAAACGAATGACGTTTTAATGGGAAAACACTTTTTCTTTACTATTTCTCATTTTAGTTAGTGAATAAAGTATCTACGTCTTCCCTATAAAATAAATACTAAAGGAAATTCTTTGACCTTCGGACATCACACTTATAGATTTGATTTTGTTTGTTTGAACACATAAACACTGATACAAGGGGGCACCAAATACATATGTGCCACATAATAACAATGAGGCCACTAACAGTCATCACCGGATTATATGAAGGCTGTGATACTGCCCGGGCACCCAAACTGAAGCTGGACGCTTATAGACACCAGTTAGTTCCTTGCATGTAACAATAAACTTAGGCAACAAGAAACTGATATACTGGCCTTAACTCGCATTTACAAAAGTTTAGAGAGTGAATACAATTTTGGATAATTACAAAACTGAACGCGTTTGTAAACATACATGTACACATATCCCAGCATTTTCAAAAGGCTCCACAGGATACCGGTCTTCACATACACGAACGACATCAGATACATTAAGCTTGGAACATTCCTATCAGGAGGAAATTAAAGACCAGTAGATTATACAAATACCTCCACAAAATAAGGCACATTCGTTTTCGAAGGAGAATCCATTATAATAAAATGCATCCCTTTGTGTTTGATGTCAGTAATGATAGGCAATCGCAGAGTTCTTGCACCCATTGCTGACAATCGACAAGATTTTGAGTTACATCGGACTGAGAAATGGAGAGCTCCTGTGCCGCATCCCTTTGAATTGCTACTTAAAGTTGAGTCTTATAATGTGATACACATTAGTTGAAATGTTTTGCAATTTCTATTTTTGAAAATATTTGAAAATTCGAAAATCGTCGATAATATACTGACCTTTAACCGTTGTTAGTGATTGCTGGAGTTGTTGGCACTCTTTCAAATACTGTTGCAGTTATCGTGCTATTAAGTTATATTACTTTTACATACTATGAAAACTCGTTTTATTCACACACACATTCATGCTCGATATATTTGTAACGTTTGTAGTTCGTAGTATGTATTCCAGAAAGTTTCTGTGTTTTTTTATGTATCTTATCGAAGTGCAAAATGAACTTCACACATTCAGACGGCGAATGTTGGATTACAGTGAACTAAAAGAGCTGTTGGTGGCATTTTTGAGGATATCAATGACGGCGTCATATTTAACCAGTATTACATTTTCATTTCGTAAAGTCTGAAAACAGAAGGTTGCAGAAATCTGTCGACTCCAAAATTTATCATGTTCAGATTATATATGGTTTTGCTGAATGTCACCTTTGTGATAACTGGGTTAGTGCCTTCCAGATATAAAGGAGGTATTTACCTTTATAATTTTATTTTTGTTTCAAGATCTTAGAAATAGTGAATACCATGATTCCGGGAAAATAATGTTTGTTGAAAATTCGAATATCTTTTTTTCATTTATGTGAGTAATATTTTTTGTTTGGTAATTTTGTACAACATGCGTGATCACAATGTAAAAATGTAGTTTTTAGTTTGTCTGTTTAGACGACATTTGACTATTTTGTCGGATTTTTATCTGCAATTTTAAGTCACGTATTTTAAGTATGAGGCAAAAGGTTATTTTATATTTTTGAAACCGCTACAAAGCAACTGATTAAAGATGTTTTGTGCAGTTAGGAGTTTAATAGATTCGTTCCGTTAATTAGTTAGTCATCCATAGAGTAGGACCAGGCACATATATGTATCGGTCAAAGTTGCCACGCCTCATTAGCACAACAAGATGAACACCAAATTCATAGAAGTAGTTACTTCGACGGCAGTAAAAAAGATTTCATATTAGGATATAACACGAGGATAAAGAATTAGTCTTTGGAAAGAAAGGTATAAAGTAATTTTAACCTCACAATTTAAGGGCCATTGTGATCGATTCTCGGCCATGTCACGTAGAGTCTCCAATCATTGGTCACGATAGTCGCGCGGATCTCAACCAAGTAGTCTGCATCTACCAACATGGCCAAAGCAACAAATTAGTAACCTCAAGAACTGACTCCACGTTTTGGTTTGGCCGCTCCTAACTCTCTTCCAACCATTGCCAACAGTAGTCAGTATTGTGCTTCGTTGTAATCGGTTTTCAGGAATACTCAACATCTGGACAAATCATCTCAGTCGATGAAGATTTACGACCTCACCGACTGATTTACCATCATCTTCTAATACCCTGCATCTAACCTCATTGTTACTTATCCCGTGGTTCCAGAAGATGCGAGCAATATTTCTAAGGCGTCTGTGATTAAATACTTGTAGCTTACGAGTATCTTCTACTCTCAATGGCCACATTTCGCGGCCGCGAAGTAGAACTGAACGAACGGCTGCGCAGTATACTCGTCTTTTATTTGATAGACAGATATCTTGCCTTCACCATAGGTGACGTAAGTTGGCAAAAGCCAAACGAGCTTTCTGAATCCGTGCTGAGATTTCGTCAGACACCAACCCATTAGGACTGATCAGACTTCCAAGATAAGTGAAGTTGCCGACGCGTTCGACTACTTTACTCCCTATCCTTGGTTCATGTGTTGACGCAGGCCAGTCCTGGAGTAATAATTTACATTTAGATGGGGAGAAACGCATCCCGAACATTCCGGCATTATTGCTCAGTGCTACCAAAAGACTCTGAATTTTATCAGCGTCTTCACCAAACAGGACTATGTCATCTGCATATTCTGAGTCGCTTAGTGGACCTCCGGGTAGGAGATCAATGCCCAAAAATTCAGTCTACAAGAACTCTGATTTGACTAGTAGTGTTCGAGTAAAGAACCTTCACAAGGTTTATGTGCTTTTGAGGTATACCTTTCAATGACAGACACTGCCAGAACCTCTTGGTGTACATATTTAAGAGTTGCTATTAAAGCAGGAGAAACTATCATTGTCGGACGCTGATAAGTATCCCAGTGTCCCAGAGTCTGACGAATATGTAGTCAATGCGGCCACGACCATATCTGAGGCCGCCCAGATTTTCTCGTGTTTGCGATTCACGAGTCTTTGTTAAGCGTTCGATAATTATGGAGGCTAGTATTTTAGATGCTATATTAGTCAAACTAATCCCCGTGTGGTTATCACAGAGTAATTCTGACCATTTCATATATATTTGGACGATTGGTGGTTTCGACCAGCCATATGGGATTACATCCGATTCCCGGGTGTTGGCCAAAATATTGGTCAACCTAATCGCTAAAACTGGACCACCATACTTAAAGACCTCTGGAGCCAATCCATCTGAACCAGCTTCTCTTCCCGGTTTCAGATTGGCTATGGCCTTTTGAACGTCAGTTATTGTCTGTGGACTTATTTCAATGTTCCATTAGGTCTGTTTGGATATGGTGGGTAGTTGTAGAGTAGCTGAAGGCCAGATAAACTGCCCCTTGAAGTGTTCCGTCCATCATTCTAAACGTCTGAGATGAGAGCAAACAAGAGTTTTGTCTTTTTCCTTGTTAGTCTCGCACTTAACTTCTTAATTTCAGTTTCTTCTATTAGTCTGAAAATCTGTCTGGTATTACCCACATCCACTGTCTTTTCCACCTATATGGCTTTCGTTGCCCACTACTGCTCGCGATCGTTCCGTATACTTTTGGTTACCCTAGACCTTAGTTGTTTTCGCTCTTCATCGTGTTCATAGCCTGATGGAATGAGTTTACTAGAACGCATCAGTGTAATAGACTTAATAAAAATCCACTGGTTTTTCGTGACCCTTTGGTTTAAATTACTAACAGATATTGCTGCTGTTTCAAAGTTGTTCGTATATCTTTACAAACGACATCTGGGTCAACCTGGTTTACAGAACTGACTATGTGTGACCTCAGTTGTTCCTGGAAATTACTTTTGACTTTCTCGTCACTGAGTTCAATTCTAATGGGCCTTCTTAGTATGGCTTTTCTGGGTTCAGTGAGGCGCAAACGAATGCATACTCGTATTAAAGCATGATCAGAGTCTAAACATGTATTACAGAAGGATCAACAATCTTCTATTGAGCCTCTCCAACGATGACTGATGGCAACATGGTGTATTCGAGTTCATCGTTGGTTTGGTGCAAGTGGTCGTCATGTTAGACAATGTCTCTCCTTATGCTTACAGTTAGTGCTTGCTAAAAATAAACCATTGTCTGAGCACAGTTGCTACAGACGATCACCATTATCTATTCGCCTAGCCGAGATACTAAAATACCCACCTAAGTGTCTTTCTGTTTGGTTTAAGCTGCTACTTGGGCATTAAAGTCATTTGCAATGAGCACTATGTCTGAGCATTTAGCTTTCTGAAGAAGCTCAGAGGGCTTTCTGTTAAAGTCATCTTTCACTCCATCCGGGCTACAGTCAGTGGGAGAGTAGGCAGAAATGACGGAAAGGCAACGACGTGTGTCCCTATCCTTCCGAGTTCTTACGGAGCCATCTAGCCGGACAACACATATACAACTGTTAACGGGAATCCATCCTAATAGTGCCTGTTCTGCCCTCGTACTTAGTGTTATTTCTACATCTTCCAGTCCACAATAACTTGCCGTTGGTTCGACAGATAGACGGAGGATGTATCTTATCGGCTCCCCGTTTTGACGGAGTGAGGTCAAGTGAATGACCACACTAGGATCCTGGATGCGTGTTTCGGAGACACAACATACATCAATTGTACGAGATTCTAGAGTTAGTCCAGGAGGCCTGTTGGCTGATTTGACATAGGGTACGTACCTTGAAGGCTCTAATATGTAGTTTGCGACGAGGTTTCAGTAGATATGGGACAATATTTAGTTCACTAGGATCGTTGACCATGGTGACACTTGAGGATGAAGTCGAAGGAGGAATTTTAGGATTGAAAATTGAGATAAGAGGAATAATAGGATTTGAAGAGGGAAAGTGATTATGAATACAGTAATCTTGAATGTTGTTAGAGATATGAGAGAGGTTATCATTTCCCCTTTGCACACACAGTGGAAGGGTTCTTCTAGAATTACCTGAAAAGGAAGTTGGGTTAGATAAAGATAGAACAAATATTGATGCAGAATAATATGAATTCATTATATTTCGTGGTTTCTCATCAGCTGCTTACAACCAAATATGCATTAGAGTTTTAGCATTAGGGTAATAAATAGAATGGAACAACTGACATAAGGGAATGTAAAGGATTGGAATAACAAATAACATTCCCTTATGTCAGTTGTTCCATTCTATTTATTACCCTAATGCTAAAACTCTAATGCATATTTGGTTGTAAGCAGCTGATGAGAAACCACGAAATATAATGAATTCATATTATTCTGCATCAATATTTGTTCTATCTTTATTTAAATTCATAAAGGGAACTAACTGCATGAAGTTGGGTTAGAGTTGGCCTTAGTGATCTGTGAGCGTGACTGCAGTTCCCAGGGGACAACTGCTTGAAGCAGGTTGCACACGATTTTGTGGGTAAGTTTTGTGTTAGCCCCGTATCTTACCGTTGGAGATGGGTAGGTGTGAGAAAGGTGAGCTGTACATTTTTAAGCCCGTCCTTCCTTATGGGAAGACAGCATTGCTGTTATGTTGGTTGTCTGAAGGGAACACCTTACTGCTGTCACACCTCTAACAGTGCTCAGTACGACTTCTCCCTCGGACCTTGGGTTTGCCGCTTTTAGTTTTACCGCTGTTCAACCGACCTGTCTGGCATGGTAGAATGTTAAGGAACGATTGTTCCAGCCAGTATAGCTTGATTGGTTCATCACATTAGGTAAGCCCGACCACCACATCATGGTAGCAACAACGGGAATAGATTCCTTATTAATATTGATATCATTTGAGTATTCGACGGGTTCTTTTTGCGCTAGATTCAGATTGTACTGGTGAGCACACAACAAATAAAGTTTTGAATTGCCAATAGGTTTACTGGTTCACAAGCATTTGCTTTAAATTGTCCGATTATTTGTATCTAAACCATGATATACCATTAAATAGCTAGGTTGAAAGAAACAGAAGATGACGGTATCTGTTTGTTCTGTATTGCTCTACTATGACTCAGTAAATTTGGATAATGAGATGAGAAGACAAATGTTATCAGGATTATGTAACATATTTGCACAATATAGTTCGAATAATCTGATCACACATATACTTACTAAGTAATAAAAGAACAAAAAGTCAAATAGGCCCTAACTTTGCGATAATGATGAGTTTGATTACATAAAACGTCTTACTGACAGCTAAATTAACTCTCTGACTCCACATAAAACTATTCGAGTCATATCTCAATGGAAAGGCAATATATAGGGTGCCAAAAATGTCACCATCCGAAAGTCGAGGTTTATATTTTGTCAAAAAACCGAAACAACATGTAAGTGATTGTGACACATCCCATTGAGTCTATCAATTTACATGTATGTGCAGAAACACGTATATAAGGAGGAGCGATTGTGAGCTGCAAGTAGGAGTGGGTGAAAACATACTTAGAGGGCTACAAAGGCAGGATAGGCAAATATCTTCCTCCATTGTGAAATATTTTATTGAGACTGGTCATAAGGTCTATATTAAGTCAGCTTTTGTAGTTTTGTACAAAAATTTTCAAAAGGTTATACCAAAGTTTATTGAAGCCATGACTACAAAAAAACTGGAATCCCCTTTACGTGTTCAGAAACTATCTGTTCTTACCATTAACCTATCCTGGTAATACTGATTTATGATCCAGAATAACTTTTGAACTGTTGTTGTGTACTTCATTGTTAGCTTTGTTTCAGCCTACTTTTCAACATGTCTATTTGGCCGTTTATTCTTCCGCATATAATGGCTTAGTAAGTATATATGTGATCAGATTATTCGAACTATATAGAGCGAATACACCACATAATCTTGATAACCTTCGTCTTCTCATCACATTTTAAGATCTTTGTCGACTCCTATTTCGCAAAGTCAAGTTTTTGAGATAATCGTTACTAGAAATAATAAGCTGATTTTTTACATGTAAAGTTAACGTTTGAAATAATGATTATTAGAAAGAATGATCGAAGAACAAAAACAAGTTAGGGGTTAGATCCCCAATAATTGTTCAACTGGTCATTCAACAGAAACACAAAGTAGTTAGCATTTGGAATAATTCCACAAAATAGAGTTTTAAAATATAGTCAAAATTCCAGTAGCGAATACACTTTAGACAGATTCAGTACAACCAATTATCAGTGTATGATTTTACAAAATTCTAAGCGGTATGCATAATAATTTAAAGCGTTATTTTCAGAAAATCTGCAGCGTATATAATAAACTGACTATAATTCCAAACTTCCGAAACATAGGAGCAAGTTGTATCAAACTGAAGTTATCTGAAAAACAAATTATTTCAGTGACATATATCAATGATTCTAAAAAGTAACAGATTTTAAAGTGAAAGTGTACAAACCGATTGGTTTTTTGCGAAAAAAGAAAAATAATTTCTTGACTAAGTCATTTACTCAAAACAGAATAAAGGCTATTTACTAAGAAAGGTGGGTTGTATCTAAAGAATTTTAACTTTTTAAACAACCTCTGTGGCTTATTTACATAAATCATTAAATTTCACTATCTTATGAGCATATTAGAGTTTTCGTATCATGAATTAATAATATGACCTTTTTAAAGGGCTCCAAAACGTAATGATATATTATTTCACATGGAGTAGATGCTATCTACATTAGTCATATAGAAGGTGAATATTCGCTCTTTTATTGTGCTTCATACTATTTCTCACTAATCTGTCACTGATTAGAAATGACGAGACTATGAGTTATTTTTACCTCAAAAAGTGGATTTACAAACAGATTTATGAAAAAGCTTTTTGGAATGCCAGTATATTGTGCAGGAAAAGCGTTCATGAAAAATTATTATAGCGATTGCATTTACGAACATTCAAGTTGTCTTCAGATAGTATGGATTAGTTAACACGTTTTCTTTTCGCTGCTAGTCTATAGATGATAGGTCTTACCAAAATATATCTTTTGAATACTCCAAACAAAATAGATAGCAATCATTCAGATAGTCGATTTACATATAGACTGAAAAATATCGTCTTTTTGTGTAATCTGAAAGCTTCATTACACACAAGATTATGGTAAAAGCAATATTTATTACTAATTCAGTCAACAAATGCTACATTTTCACAGTTGAAATCATGAATCAATTGAAGCTAGAACACCATGGGAAACCTGGAAGCACTGGACGGCCGTTTCGTCCTATTGTGGGACCCCTCGTGTAATATAATGTAATTAAGAGGAATATAAATCGTGTTACTTTCATCTGTGGATATCAGGAAGACCAGTTTTATATTTATCTAATTTCACCCTTATTGGTTCTCGTCGATGATTTTTTAGCGTTGGCTGTAGAAAAGCATCCACAGGTTGCAACCTTTTGTAATATCTGAGCATTGAGTTTAATTATTTTTGTTACGTCTTTGAATCTGTCTACCCACTTAGTGCCGAGCATAATGTAGATTAAGACCTTGACACGATAGGCTGACTGGCTTAACCTTGAGGCTAATATGCGTGAGTTCGAAGTGGGGGTAGAGAGACGAAAACTATTCTACCCCTGATTGGCTGGCAAGCACGCGAGAGAGAGAAGACAAAAACAGCTGGAACACTAATCACTTTATTCCAACCCCGATCTAGCACTCGAATTCCCAATTCGGATTAGGGTGAAAAGTTACATGAATAAATAGACGAATAGGCTGACCACAACGTTCAATAATTAGAAAAATACAATTGTCCAAAACTGGGGGATCATAGTAAAAAATAGGGTACAAAAGATTACGTCTAAATGACAATAGCTTTGGAACAGAAAATGCTATGGCAATGAATCATATATCAAACGAAAGCTTATGATCTGTAGAATAGGCTAGGGACAAAAGTAAATATTACAGTTTTACAAGCTTTGAATTAAATGAATTAACGTCCCCAAAAATAGCTTCCGTAATTTGTTAAGGCTTCTTGTTTTGCGGTTCACATCAATTTTGTACTATGAAAAAATAATTTTGATGTTATACAATCTATACGAGTAGAGCTGAAAGACATTGTTAATAATTCTGTAGTCATATAACTTAAGTAAAGGTTAATTCATAGAATAAGCTAACAGTTAAAAGTGGTTTTATCTGTACTCACTGACGAAACCATACTCCTGTGTAATGAGTTGAGAGGTAACACTGTAGTGAACGAAGACTTAGTGTCGACAACCCACTTATTTATTAATAAAAAATTCCAGAATATTTTCATAAAATATAAGGGCCATACATTAAATACTTCATTTGCAAATCACCCATCAATTGTATTTAACATTCTGTATGATTCCTCCACTTCACAATTCCTTTCTATTATGTTCAACTCGATCTTTTTAGCTTTCTGATGCCATGCATTCCACTTTTGATTGTTGTAACATGCTACCTATGTGGAAAGACATATGTATACGCCACAATATAAATATTTCCATACCGTTTCCAAACATATTTAACATGAATTTACTTTTGACATAAAATCTTTAAACTTAATACAGCATAATATGGGACAGGATGCGTAATGAAATAACAGGTTGACGACCACCTTGTTCAACTTCAAATTACTATCGGATCTTCTGAATCTAGCCCTATAAATTAAATGTATTAAAACTTCTACTCTTTAAAAGAGATTGTTTCAGTTTATGACTCCCTTTGCAATAAGTAGTAGCTTCACAGATGCCACTTTCATAGAAGTACATTTTATTTTCATCCATTACTATTTCAAATGTCAACATAAATATCATCGTTTTATTTATTTAGAAAGTCTTATGAAGACATTTGGTTAACGGTCAAATTGTTTTCCTCACAGAATAATTCCAGTTATTTGGTTTTCAGTGGTCCCAAAGTAGATATCAGTTTTCAAAGGCAATAAACAAATAATTTATTGTCATTAAGTATTTTTAACTGTCAGTAATTATCATTCCTTTCACATGTTTTTGTCATTGCACTAAAGTTCCACACAATAACACGATGGCTTACACTTTATACACTTCAAATTTTCGTACTAAATTATGTCTGTTCATAATTCTAAGTTATATGTATTTTCTCGGTCAACTTCTTATTTTTACAGTTTAGTTTGAAAAAAGAGTAACTGTAGGTCCTCTTATATAAGCTGTAATCAATTGTAATTAAAATGAATTCGCTATATCTTGAAAATATTGTTCTGCATGTACCTTAAGGTTACTCAGGAAAACTTAGTGTGGTCAATCTAAATTGTTGATTCTTTTGGGTGTATTTAGACTTATTACACATAGTCGTATTGTACTATTCTTAGCACTTTATAGTTACTGTCACTTGTAATGTATTGCACGGGATTGAATGGACAGGTTGTTTTGAGAACATGTTCTACAATTTTCACAAAGTGTTCAATCAGTTAACTTTAAGATTGGAGTTATTTGTTAAAAAAATCCATCTAGAGAAATCTGAACAATAGCACAAATTTCTATCGTTTACTTCGTATGTCTAACATGTTGGTTATTTAGATATTGTGCTTAACCATAAACGCCATTATCGTGACGACTAGTAATGCAAATACAGTTACTGATGATATTCGTTGTTTTACTGCCATTTATTATTTGGACCAGAGTGATTAAGCTGTACTAAAATATGCAGGATCCATATTAACCTTTTCAAAACATTACTGAATATAAGTTTTATATTTTTCATAGGCGAAAAACAATGGAGTCAAAACGCGATCAACTGTATTGCTCAAATTCTCCCAACTAAAGTGTTGATATTGACAAAATTCAGTGGTTGTGACTTCATAAAATAAAAACAGTTTAAATGCTAGTTTTTAAAGATTAAAGAAACATACTCGATTGTTTTAAATCATAGTAATGTATTGAAAGTGTTATAAAATTATAGAAGTTGTCATCTAAAATAAATTCTTGTTTTAATAGGAACATTATATATACGAATAACTTGTGCGATTCAAGACAATCGTTTAAGGTTATGGAATGGGAAACTTCTTATTCCACATTTAGAATAACATCAGCTTTTAAAACGCCAACACCGTTTTCTGGCGACAACTGTACGGGTCATCAAATAAATATTTATTTTGTTTGTGGAACCAATCAAATCCATCGATATACATTAATTCAGTCAAATGTATTACACTTTGAAGAATTAGGTATGATATGCAGTTTTTGGAGGGAAGAAGAATCGACCTCAAAATATCAGCCAAACACATGGATTCAATTAAATAATCTACCATATAATAAACAAACTATACATCCTGGTTTGATTGCAGCTTCTCGTCTGGCATTATTTTCTCACTACGTATCCTCAACTGATGGTAAGTTTTTCGAAAAGTTTTTACATTTTTCTACGTGTTTGAAAGTGACAACAGTAGATTACAACAAACTGAACAGGTTGGTAGTTCTTTTTGTTCTCTTAAAATACAATACATTTTCTTTAGCGGAGGAATAGAAGTGAATGGATTCATTAGTAATATCGTTTCCGGATTAGGTATACAGTTTTGGCTCTTTCTTTGCTTGGAATGGTAACAATCTATCGAACTCTTTGAGTAGAATAAAATTGCATTAACACTGAAATAAGAAAATTTCCAAAAGAATATTTCACTATAATAAAATTACATTGTGCAATATCTGACATTTCTCTCGGTATACAACTAGCGAGTTTAACAAAACACTTATTCTCTGTGTAAATTAAGTCACTTTTGTCGATACACTTCGATAGTATGGAGAAATGTTATCTAACTTATTTGATTTTTAAAGAAGAATTACTGAGATATAAGTATATTGCATTAGTATTTAAGAATGTTCACGTAAATTACTTGATAAATTTATGGATTAAATGTATAGTTTTAACAGAGAGTAATTTAAAACTTAAGTACAGAAAGTGGACTGAATTTTAAGATTCCTTCGATAGAAAACCACTATAATAACACCGATAGTTATATTGTAAAACCGATGGTCAACCTATATAAATCATACCTATTTTAAGACATTTTTTACCGATAATGGATTATTAACAAAACTATTGTGAGAATTAAGATGAGAATAAGACCAAACAAACTTATTAATTTATTATAAAGTGGTTTTGATTTTCTGGCATACCCAAAAACATCAGTGATATTTAACAAATGAACACAAACAATTAAATCGTTTCACTATCTGTTACACAGTACAATACTGTAAAGTTACTAACGATTCTTATATAATACTGATTATTCGCAACGATAGGTAGAACAAAATATGGTAAATATGGTTCTAAAATCTTGATATTACCGTTGTAATGGATTAGGCCACTGATAGATCTCATTTAATTATCTAGTGGTTATTTTGATAAAAATGATTTCACCGAAACATGGGAAATATAAAACATATATTGATGAGAAAAGATTGCACACCGAATAATTAAAACATTGTTGTAAATTCAATAGAAAATTTACTTTCCAAAAATGTTTGCTTACAGAATGTAAATTTATTCATCTTGCCAGAATTTCACTTTTAATATCAGCACTTCTACACCATTCCACAGAAAAGAATCTTTATTTAATGTAGCTAGTAGTTTGTGTATGGATCTAATAGTATTATGTAATCTTTTTATTGTGACCACATCAGAGTATGTCATGTCCTTCATAATATTTTACATACCTTCAGTCCAACTGATAAAGAATTTTGACTAGGTACATAATGACCAGATAGGATTATATTTTGATCAGTACTCTAATATAAGATAGAAGAGGGGAATTATTACAGTGCACGTGGATTATTGTGTTTGTACGTTTATAAGTTATTTGATAAGTGAAACTGTTGGGAAATTTCACCAGCATGTATTTAAACATCTTTTTATTTTTTTTATTCCACAAAAGTTCTGTGTTCATTAAATATGGTGGAACTCTACTTTATGAATGAATGAATCAGAGTTAACACAGGGTCTCATGGAGTTTTGTGTGAAATTCAAAACACTATGATGGTCAGCTTGTATCTTATTAAAGTCTAAGAATAAATTGCATACATTTGTTTATTACAGTTCTTAAAACTAAAAAGAACTTGTTTTTTTGTATAATTACATGGTGAGTATACGATAATGTGAAAGCTGAATTACAAGAAGCACTTGCAGTTGATGCAGATTACATCTGAATTGTTAGTTAAACATTGAGAAAAGTTTATGTAGTTTAGCGGGTAATCAAGAACGATTATAAGGTCTCTGAAGATCCACTGTGTATTATAAACTAACCAATACAAGTATCTATATGAATGACAGAAGAGAGTAATGATTGTAATCATCAGGTCATTTTTCATTAGCGTTATTTTGTGAACCCTGTATCCGCTGTACACATTAGTGATGCTACAGCGATATATCCACGATTAAAGAACTATTCTCAGCCTTAGGAAGGTTTTAAAGGCAAAATGAACTGAATTTATGTAGAAGAACTTTTCAAATTCATCTGCGTTTATTTTAGTAAGCTTATTAAGTTTAATAATCATGTAAAAAGTAAATGCCATTCCTATTATCTTGGTTATCGACAATAAATAATTTATTTATTTTACTAACATTCTGATTGGCTAAAACGTACTCATGGTCGTCTACGAAGTATATTCCACCGTTTGTATTTTTTCAGACTTTTCATAACCATACTAGTTTGGTTTGAAATGTTTTAGATAAGATAATAAGTATATTTATACCAAATGTTAACACTTTTGAGTTGAATGATCGGAAGGAAAAAATATTTGTATATACTCACTATATAAAAACAAGGAGATATTTTGATCTTGTTAGATATTCATTTATTCTTTATGGCTAAAATGTAAAAATTTACATGAGCTAGAACTTTAGACATTACGACGGTATTGGTAAATTTCAGCCAAATACACAATAGTTCAACTTGACAAACGAAAGAAAAAGAAACCCACCACAAAAATAATCATAAAGTAAACTAAACAATAAGTATACTGATCTAATGTAAAACATAAATAAAGGTGAAGAACAAATTAGTCCGACTTATTACAACTGATCTTGAATCGAATCACTATACACTAATATTAACTATGTCTAAAACTGTAACCCTAGCTTCTAAGGTTATTCTAACCACTCAGATCATCGTTCAGGAGTATTCTCTTTTGATACTACTTAAAAATGTTGAGACTGGGTTTAATCTATTCAATTTGATCACCTACAAAAATATTGTATAGCAAAATAGATAGAGTTATCATTGATCTTTAGTTTGTCACACTGGAGAACAGAACGTCCGTAAGATTACATAAAGTTTTATAAAAGTTGACCAAATTCTCTTCTCTGCTCATTTCTCAATTTGATTACTTTTCAAATAAATCATTTTTTTTGATGGGTATATTTCTGATTATATTCCAAACTATCTTAGGTATAACAAGTAAACTAAGAAACGTAGAAAATTGACACCAATTCAAAATTTGTCTTTGGAATTCCTATATAGATATATATCCACCAGTCGGCTTTCGTGTGTTTTTTTCTTTACATTTTGCTTTATCTATCCATTATTAAGCCATTAGAGTAAACCAATAATGAACACAGTAAATTTTACTACTAAATTTATAAAACTTTTTAAACGTTTCTAAAATATTTTCATAGTTGAAATCATGAGTCAATTGAATCTAGACCACCATGGAAAACCTGGAAGCACTGGACGGCCGTTTCGCGAGACTGGTAGGTCCTGAGTTCGAATCTTGCTCGCGAGGCGGGATCGTGGATGCGCACTGCTGAGGAGTCCCATAAGAGGACTTGACGGCCGTCCAGTGCTTCCAGGTTTTCCATGGTGGTCTAGCTTCAATTGACTCATGATTTCAACTATGAAAATACTGAAATCTCCACAAAACGCCTTCTGTTTCTAAAATAGTTAAAAAAATATCTCTTGAATAATATATATTAAGACTGATGTTACACAACAAATATGTTTCATTGCATAATTTTGTATGTTTGTAAATACGATAGAATGAGTTAAAGGAAATCGTTACTATTATGTTGTAGGTGATCTCCAATTGTTTTTTTTTTCTTTTATTAATTTCGTTATTACTTTTATTGCTGCCAAAAACTATGGGTTACTTCTTTTAAAAAGAAAGTCGTATCTCTTTAAAAAAAAAGATTATATTTATTGTCTACTGGAAAAAAAGAGCCTAACATATTTGAGTCAATTTTCGACTTTAAAAATGGATTAGATTACTACGTATTATTATTATTGAAAATTTATGACAGAATGATCAACCTATAATCAATGAAATAGCCACTTTATTTAATTTGGTTATGATTATATAATACTAACAATGGGAGACAATCAGGGGTTTATTCTGATATAATATGGTTAATTATAATAATATATATTCATATAAAAAACATTAAATAGTTGTTACAGAACTGTATCTTGATTAATAATTTAATCTCTTAACTTAGTTGGTTTAGTTTTGAATCAATTAATCTACGATCATTTTTTTTCAAGTCCCACAACCCTAAATGTTTCCTTGATCTCATTCAGAATTTTTATAATAAATATAGTGGATGAAGAAATATTATTGTCACTGAGATGTGAAATCGACATTATTCGATAAGACAAAATACTGCGTAATTCCTGTTTAATCACGTGAATCTTAAATCTATGAAGTTAAACTATTATTTGTCCTGCGGTCATTGTGTGAAGGCAGAATAAACGATAAATGCTTACTGAACTATCAGTATATACCAATCAGGAACTTTTTTCTCATACATATCATTATTATTATTATTACTAGGACAATTATGGTATGCTTCGAACAATCTCAATGAAGCTTTTAATATTCACAAGAACAACAGTAATATTATGGGTGATGGGCATATTCGTCTACTCACATAATTCTGTGTTCAGATCATAAGAGTCGGAAAGTAAAACGCACTGCTACCTAGTTATGTAAAAATATATTTTAAATCTCTCAAGAAATTTTTATTCGTATTTCCATATCGACAAGACCTTGTGTTTACTATTATTGTCATTAATATTATTATATTAAGATCAATAGAAGAATACAGTATGTGAAAGGATAATGAATGTAATAGTGAAAATATTTCGTTTAATAAAAAAATTTCTGATTATCATTGGTAGTATCATGTTAAACATAACAGTACACTAAACTCAAGAAAATTTTACCGAAACAATGAATTATATGATCGGTCAGTTCACTGAAGTTAGACGGAATTTTGTAACATCATTTTACCGAATAAATAAACTAATCGTTCACCAGTCCAATTTGCAATATAGATCAAATTCACTATGATTTATAATACTTACTTACTTACACCTGTTACTCTCAATGGAGCATAGAC